GGGTTTCACCGAAGTGGTAAAGGTATCAGACCTGCATCACTTTGAGCTTTCCTCCCACATTAAGCTGACACACTGTGAATACTGTTAAAATCGGCGTTAAACCCAACTCAGTCAGTCACTCACTCACTCACTCACTCACTCACTCATTTAAAGTCTATACAGCCCTGGCCCTCCAAACCATCATTCTTATTCGTGACATTGTGCAACAAACCACCAATGGCTTTTAACACTCAACCAGCAATCAGAAAAAAAGTCTTGACTGGCCATTGGTACGGGGAGGGGGGAGGGATTTTGTTGAAAAAATAGAGCTAATTTTTTTTCATGCCCCCATTCCCAATAGTTCGGATACATTTTGGTGACCGCCCATCGCTGTGTCAGCATGGGCTGAATCTCCTGCAATTCATTATGGGCCTGTACACTGTATATCATACAAGATACTTACCACATCTTTGCATATAAAACTACCAGACTAATATGAAGCCATGATATACGTGCAATTACTTTTTATTTATTTGTTGACTGAAATAAATCACGCTAAACCTATTAATGGCATAGTTCGTGAAATGTCACGATTTTATCACAAATACTCAAATGTCAAACAGAGCTGAAATTAGAAAAAAAATGATGCCTGCGTTTCAGATGGCAACAGTGACAGAAAAAGTATTGATAATATCAGATCCATTTCAGCATTTGAAGAAATTAAACCAAATCCATTTTCTCAAGAGCACAGATCCCTATTCTCAGTATTACTGTTTATTCGGGAATCCAATTTGCAACATTGTAGCTATGGGAGCTAATGCACCTTGTCAGTGCCAGACTGTGCAGGCAGGGTGTCACAATCTCTATCATTGGAAACCGATCAATGGTGTCTTTGGGGATTAAGTGAAAAAAGTCATGGCTTAGGAAAGAAAAAGTGAAACATGGAATGGTCCCTTATTCTACTCCCTTCCTAAGTTTGAATCGCCTTGATAGATGTGCTCCAAAGTTTGTAATCGACCGTCATGGATAAGTTTAATCTTATTGACTGTTTATAGCATATTTCATTTGCATCGGCTTCGAGAAGAATTTATGTAATGTAGATGGATAAATATTGAAGAGAAGTTTCTGTTAGACATGTCTAGATCCACTGGTCTTGGGTTGGAATCCAAGATGGTGGTTATGTGAACCGTGTCCCCATTACTTCACTTTGATGTTATTGGGTGCTGGAGAAGCCTGGTGGTGTGTGCGTTTGCTTGTCTTGCCGAAGGCCTGGGTTTGACTCCCGACATGGGTACGCTGTCTGAAGCCCTGGTGTGATGTTTCCCAGCTGTGGTGGTGCTGGCACATGTCTAACAGCTGTGTAAAACCCAAACCACTCACTCAGTTTGATGTTAAACCAAACTCACCCCACATGCTGGGATACCCAGTGGAAGCCAATAATCTGGATCCTACCATTCCACATTTCCTGATTAACAAGTCATGGAGACATAGTGTCCTTTGATTTAGTCGCCAGCAGGCTTTCCAGACTGACGAAGGCTAGACTCTCTCTCTCTCTCTCTCTCTCTCTCTCGCTCTCTTTCTCTATCTTTCTCTCTCTCTCTCTCTATCTCTCTCTCTCTCTCTCTCTCTCATATTGTAATAATCCTAACACATCGCTGCATCACTCACTATTCAACTACCTAAACAGTAGTAGAAATCCCATCAACACTTTCCTTGCGAGGCTGGACCACTTGTAAGATGCTAGCACCGGTTTCCTGGCTATGTAGCCCTAAGTTTGTATGTGAACATTTCAGAGGTTAATTACCAAGCCCTGACTGTCGGGGAAACTTCAGCTGGAGGTTATTGAGTTATAGGTTTTCTCCAAGATTTGTTTGACCAGCCCATGACCAGTCATCTTGACCAAATCAGTCTCATTAGTCAAGTGTATAATGGTCCAATATGTTCAGCGAAAGTGGATTTGGAACCCTCTGGTAGTATTTGTACTCATTTTTAAATTTACCCTAAATGATTCTTTTCAAAATGAAAGGAGAATCAGACCCAAATATGTCTTTTGATGTGTCAGTGTGACTGATATTGAAAGATCGATGCTTCTCAGCAGGATCTCCCTGTCTCTGTTGGTTGGAGCAGCCATTGGCCCCAGAACATCAATGTGGGACAATTTCATTCAGGAACAATGACGGTAGCCTTGTGGTTTAAAGCGTTTGCTCGTCACACTGAAGGCCCATGTTTGATTCTCCACATGGGTACAATGTGTGAAGTCCGTTTCTGGTGTCCCCAGTGTTGCTGGATTAAGCAGCGTAAAACCATACTCACTCACTCACTCACTCACTCACTCACTCACTCACTCACTCACTCACTCACTCACTCACTCACTCACTCACTCACTCACTCACTCACTCACTCACTCACTCACTCACTTACTCTTCACTGACTGGACCTATCTTTGTGATGCCTGACCCTTTACACGTGTTAACTGGAAGTAATTTCTTCAGACTGGAAGTGGTGTGTGGGGATTTCTGGGTCACTGAGGAAATGGTGGTGAAGTAGCGGCTTCTGGTGTTCTAGTACTTACGAACACTGTTCTAGTTTTCATCTTGGTCACTTGTTCAGGAAGTATTCACATCATTCATAAGCTCTGATATTTTTAATCAACCTGAAACCTACTCACTGAAGTGAGTGAGTATGGGTTTATGCCACTTTTGGCAATAGGCCAGCAATGTCACGGCGGGGGACATCAGAAATGGGCTTCAGACATTGTACCTATGTCGGGAATCGAACCTGGGTCTTCGGCGTGATGAGCGAACGCTTTAACCACTAGGCTACCCAACCACCCCTAATTGCTAAAGAGTCTCTTCTCAACATAATTGTTGGATGTACAGACAATGTTTGTTGGTATATTTTTTTAACTGGCGATATGACGGCTGTCTGTAAATAATCAATTCTTGACCAGACAATCCAATTTGTTTGACATCATGAGCATTTAGCTACGCAGTTGGGATATGACAACATGCATCAACCATGTCAGAGAGCTTTACCACCCGATCCCTTAAGTTGCCTCCTACTACAAGCATGGGTTGCTGAAGACAAATTCTAACCCAGATCTTCACGGGGGAGACAAGCATGGGTTGCTGAAGACCATTTCTAACCCAGATCTTCACGGGGGAGACAAGCATGGGTTGCTGAAGACCATTTCTAACCCAGATCTTCACGGGGGAGACAAGCATGGGTTGCTGGAGACCATATCTAACCTGTGTCTGCAGACAAGGATTAGATGTTGGACTTGGCTTTGGTTTTTTAGGCAGCCACTAAAACAAACTGGCATGCATGAAATCACACTGTTACAGTGTATGGAACATTGGTTGAAATGGTTTAAGCAGAGGGTAACCAATCAATTTGAACCAGCACATCTCGTTATTCCCCTGGTGGTGTTCAGGAAATGATGCATGTATAGGCATTAAATGGGGCAAGATTTTATTATTTGTTCTGAGTATTTTTGTATCCTGGTTTCCAAGAGTGTTAAACCCTTTAATTGAGGCTTCATTTATCATTGGATTCAAGCTTCTTATTTTCTGATGAATTTTCTTTGTTCCTCCGAAGGGTGTTAGTCTTCAAAAGAACTGGAATTGCCATGGGCTTTGTTGCGGAACTCTTACAAACGTCTTAAACACTTGACAGATGGTGGCACATCGTATCGATTCAGGCTGTTTTCTTTTTTTTTGTGGCAGGATTGTCGATCAAACACTTGATGTCACTTGACATTCTTAAATCAAGGGACATGTTTAGAAAGGTAAATTTAGATGGAATAGATCCAGTTTTGAAGGCGCAAAGTGGAAATGTGTTTGATATAAAAGATGGGGGGGAAAAAGTAACAGGTCCGGGTGAGGCTTTGTTTCTTGGCTGTGTCAGATTTGGGTTGAATGTTGTGTGGTTCAGTACATTCTACACACAGGCTGCTACAGGCCTTGGAGGATACGTCAGACTTCCAAGTTCACCCTAGACCACTAGCCCAAGACTACTCAGTTGTGCTGAGGACAGCAAAAGTCCAATGACGGTAGTCCTCATTGACTAGTAGCATTAGGGCTCTAATTCTGAACCAGTTCTCAATGCTTCAATTTTGCTACACATTGGAACTGAATAAAACTGTGAACGTATGAAAGGTTTGTCTCTTTCAGGAAGAACTAGCTACAAACTCTTGAGGACTGGTGAAATATGGTTTCTGTTAGTTCTCTGAACAAGTCTTAAAAAGTACAACTTGTTTAGGCTCTGTATGGGACATCCTCTGTATGGGACATTCTCTGTATGGGACATGCTCAGTATGGGACATCCTCTGTATGGGACATCCTCTGTATGGGACATCCTCAGTATGGGACATCCTCTGTATGGGACATCCTCTGTATGGGACATCCTCTGTATGGGACATCCTCAGTATGGTCCCAAGAACTCATTCATTTGTAAGCTTGCTGGAGTATATTTCATGTTCTTTACTTAAATAGATCCATATATTATCCATCAGTTTATGTATCCAAGGCATGACTCTTTTTTATATTATTTATTTATTACCTATTTACGAGGCATTACTGCAATATTCTGGACTGATATTGATCAGATCAGGATGGAACCATCTTCTCCATTTTCTTTTTTAAATTTCCTGTTTGTCAGTTTTAAAGCTTGTACTGATGAGAAGCTTTAGAAATGTCCCAAATTTAACGATTTCACGATATCCCAGCTAGCTTTAATATAAAGTAGTTACTTGCGACTTTGATTTGACAGGTCAATGTTTTTGCATCTTATGCAAGCCCCATGGGATAGCCTAGTGGTTAATGGTTTGCTTGCCAGGCTAAAGGTCCAAGTTCGATTCCCTTATTGGTATCAAACATGAGATTCTGCATAAAACTGGACTCACTGTTTGTTGTGCATACTATTTATGTACATATGATTGTTCTCATTACTATATGGTTGAAATATTGTCGATGTGGCATTAGATATTAACTCCCTCACTCACTCAGTCGCTCTTGTTGCAGGTTCTCCCAAACTGGCACAGCCTCCAGTGCCAGCCAAGCCTCGGCTGTTTAAGCCACTTGCATCCCCAACGTCGCCCATGTTGCCTCGTCCACCAAGGAAATACCCCTCATCTGAACAGAACTACAGCAGCGACTCTGCCTTGGGATCACCGGACATGAGCAGTGTCAGCGTTGCCGTGGCAACGGATCTTGATAACATTGCGGACTATGATCACGATGACACTTTGGTGGAATTAAATGGTGAATATACATGTTGCTCAATATAACAGGACAGCAGGATCGGATCAAGGGTCTATTTACCTTTGAAACTTTAACCATTGATATGTTCATCAGTTAATTATTTTTATGCCCAAGCTTATGTTGGCATGTTGACAGAGGAAATCTTTCATTGAATCTTGGATTAAGTGAAACCGTATTAAGGCACCAGACAAAAATGCTTCTGTTAAAAGAACTGTTTCTTCATGATGAGGATTACAAAAAAAAATACAAAAAAATGATGGTCTGTAGGTCGGGAGAAATATTATTTTTGATTTCTTCTAATGACTCGTCATTATTTGTTGTGTTTTAAAGATAAATTTTCAACAGGTTTAAATTCTAAATATTCATGTATACAACAGTAAATGGTTTGTTGTTTTTTAACATTTTATCTATTTCTGGTCAGTGGAATAAAAAACCCACTGCTTTTAATTTTAAAAAAAGGTATTACATTTCAGTTTTTGGGAGTCGGCAGATTTGTAAATTTATACAAGTTTAAAGTCAAACCAAATTTAAAAAGTTAGGAAGTCCTTTTGAAAAAGTTTTGTCTGTTTGTTTCAAATTCACTGTGTAAGTGGCGGCTGCTTTTTTAACTTCACTTTTTCTGATTGATTGAAATGGCTGTCTATTACATGACATTTTACAAACTACAGGCAATGGGAACCCTAATTCTAATATTTGCAAACAGAAAAACAACTTTGATAAGAGCTTTTGCCGACCTCGCTAGAGGTCGCCAAGAAATTATGAATGACTTGGAGCCTGGAGCAAACAATGGTGTTTTGTAATATCTGACATTTCAAAGAAAGCCTTTGGCTGAACTTGAAGATAAGGGACTATATAACCATGGTTACTTGAATTAGGTGAAATTTGTCTGACCCAAAAGTCATAGCAACCTGTAGGAATTTAGATATGGTCAGTAATTATTATTTTTTTACAAAAATCAAGTTTGTTAAATTAACACTTAAGGCTTTTTTTTAGTAGTAACCACTTTGATACTGGACAATGAACATGTCTGAAGAAAATATAAATCCAGTTCAAAGCAAAAAGTTAGATTAGCTTTAAGACAAACATTATGATTTCCATGGCCCGGAAAGCAATATTCTGTTATTGCCCTTTACCTTGTGTTTTGTTCTATTGATCGATAATAAGAAAGGAGATTAGTCCTTTGAGTCTCGTTTGCCATATTCACTGATAAAAAAAATGCCTCTTCAGCAATTTGGTGGTGTGATGAATTACTTCTTGGGCAATTTGAAGTGATGGGCACAAACTTGGTTGGCCAGGGGTCTAGAACAGGAGTAGTCAGTGTCCTCAGATAGGGTTCATACACACCATATATCAAGACAGTTCTTTGCTGATGGGCTTCTGGTGGCATTTATGATAGTTCAAGGTTTAATGTATGTGGTTGAGGGTGTGGGACAATTTATTGTGTAAGTTTGACGCCCACATGCTGTCTTGAATGATGGACGTGATGCTGGCTTGTTGAGCTTTGTGTTGTGTTTTTTTTTTTATTGCAATTCTATAATTGAGGTTTATGTTTCAGTAAATGATTCTCTGTATGTGGATGTGTATGATTTTCTTTGTAGTGAGTGAGTGAGTTGGGTTTAACGCCGCTTTGAACAGTGTTCCTGTTATATCGGGGCGTGTCAGCTTAATGTGGGAGAAAGCCTGCAAAGATGCAGGTCTCAGACCTTTACGACTTTGGTGAAGCATAGGCATGTGTACAGCGCTGACAAACCTAGAAAAATCACAAGTAATACAGGTGGAAAAAATGTGAGATCTTCTACCCTGTATGTAGGACAACTTCCTTCATACCCCCCTAATCCTAGGTATGAAAACTTGCCTAGACAAACAATACATGTTAGCTGGAGGCGTGAATTTTTTCCTGGAAATAATTGCAAAAAATAATTTGAAAAAATTAGGATGACTAACTGCCAGATGAAACCATGGATTCTTCTTTAATTATGGATGTTCCAAAACCCACGTTCTCTTAGTCAATTAAGAAAATAGCATGTGTTAGGAACATGATGAAGTAAATCAATTGTTTCAAATGAAAATCCTAACCACCACCTCCCAGAAGAAAAATGGCAGGTCCCGTAGGGAGAGGACTGCTGAGTTGATGCTTGTCTGGTAGGGGGATAATTAGAGGATAACCAACGAGCGACGGGATGTTACAGATTATCTGCCCCGAGTGAATTAAGAGTGGTAATCCTGAACCACTGGTGGTGGTGGTGGGGGGAGGGGGTAGCCTAGTGGTTAAAGCGTTTCTTGTCACGCTGAAGACCTGGGTTCGATTCCCGACATGGGTACAATGTGTGAAGCCCATTTCTGGTGTCCCCCGCCGTGATATTCCTGGAATATTGCTAAAAGCGGCGTAAAACCATATTCACTCACCCACCCCATTGGTGAGGGACTTACAGCATTCATTCACCAGGGACAGATGATCCATTATTCCAGGTTTCGAGTAGGTTGTTCTATATATTACTCTTGCCATTTTAAGAGAGAAAATGAAGGGGGAAAAAGTAGGAAATGTCAACTCTGCAGAAAAACTTCACAGTCTGTTGTGACCGAATGTAATCAATTTGTGATGTCATGAAAGGTAGATGACATATATTCTTCTCCACAGTGAAACAATGTGACATTTTATGCCTTTCACCATTGAGAATTGCTGAAATGTATGTGCAAATATAGGAAAGATATTGCACACAATCAGTCTACCCTTATGGGTAATAGGGTAATGTCTGCGGAGACTACCAGTTGATATTAAATGCCAAATGAAGCTATGATATCTAACTCATCAATTGTATTGAACTGCTAATTGTCTGGACGATCCGTGTGTGTTTCAAAGTGAAACCTTTGCTAGGACTGAAACTATTCATCTTGTCTACTTCATTATGTCTGCCTCCAGTTAAAGAGAGGGGAGGCATTTTGTTTTTGGCGTTTGTGTCAGCATTCTCTTCCTATTCCGAACCATAACTCGAAAACCGTGCAATGTTTTTCAACGAAACTTGCCATATATACGTTGCTCATCAGCGTTACTGGTGCCTTTTGCTATTTCAAAAATTTTCAAAATTTTTTTTTTCCATAGAAACAATTTTGACTTAGGATAGGGTTCATTTCTGGGACATAACTTCAACATTAAATCGTTCAACATTTTTCCATGAAGCTGCACATATGCATTGGTCATCAGCTTCAATGGTGCCTTTTGCTATGTTTCTAAAATTTTATTTTGTCATGTTTCCATGGAAACAATTTGGTCATAATCTCAAACAACTCAAAGCTTCGTTTCCGAGCCATAACTCTAAAACTAATGAATATGTTTGCATTTAACTATACATGTGCAATTACCTCATCTATTGCCTTACCATATTTTTTATTTTTTCAGTTTTTTAATTATCTTTCCAGGCTATAATCTGATATTACGTTTTTTTTGGATTTGCAAACACATTTACAGTTACAACTTGAATTAGTGTATTAAAAAAATGGAGGGGGAGACATATGCTTTTGAGTAAAAACACATTCTAGTATATTATGTATATCTTTATCTCTAGGGATTTACCTTGGTCTGAAATAAAACTAGAATTTGGGTATAGATTTTCTCTTGTCTCAGAAAGGATGACACAGTTGTTTAAGGCTGTGCGGAGTTACCTCCCTTGGTCATGCCAGGATCATATGATCTTGGATTTGAATCCCAGACTTGCATTGATTATTACCTTGGTTTTTAAGCACCTTATAAGTGTTTGTACATTTCACCAAAGTAGTAAAAACTTAAGACCTGAATCATGTCAGGCTTTCGTTCACTTTGATATAAGTGTTGGATATAGTTGAACGTGGCATTAAACTCACTCACCCACTCACTCAGAGGGGCGGTCGGGTAGCCTAGTGGTTAAAGCGTTCACTCGTCACGCTGAAGACCTGGGTTCGATTCCCGACACGGGTACAATGTGTGAAGCCCATTTCTGGTGTCCCCCGCCGTGATATTGCTGGAATATTGCTAAAAGCGGCGTAAAACCATACTCACTCACTCAGAAGACAGGTAGCAGGGTATTAGTCAGTCCTATTCAGTGTTTGAATAAGCGCCTACCTGTTGGCCTGAGACAGGTAGATCTTGTGTCAGGCCCGTTGTTTCAAATTTGTATGGGTCCTTATGGCCCATAGTAGATTTATGTGTCAATTTATTAGTCACAATAAGGTGCAATTCTTTTTAAATAAGGGCCTGAAGCGTTTGGTATGGCCTAGACTAACATCTAGTCTCTGAAATGAACATATCGTACAGAAAAAACAGTTGTTCAGTTATCTTAATAAAAATATAATAAAAGGGAGCCCAGTGACTCTCTTCATTTTCAGATACTGCAGTAATCTAGGCTTGCCAAACATTATAGACTTGCATGGGCTGTATTTGATATATATTTGTGTCAGGGTCTGTAAAGACAGACTAGGTATGGCCTTGCAGCTTCTAAAGTCTGTGGGTCCTTATTGCCATCTGGCAAGTTTTTTTCATTTCAAACACTGGCCCTTTTGACTTCCACCCACCCACCAATTGTACATGTGCTCAATACCATGATTTCAGGGGGAAATGACAGTCCACCACCACCACCACCAGATGTCGCTCAAAATGATCTCATGATGAGACTGGGTCTGTTGCTAGGTGACCGCATCGGCAACAGCAGCGACAAGTTGTCACCATCACCCATGCAGCAGATGGCCAATCAGACGGAAGAAACATTTACAAGTGTGTCGTCGCTGGGCAGCAGCGAGACGACTCCTGAGAAGGGGCTATCCGACACCAGTCCGATGTCCACATTAACAGGTATGTTATCAACAGAACCAAATGTACAACTCTTTGCAAACCACCCTGGATTTCAGACCAGAATAGATCCCCAGCACTCCATGTTTGTCCAGGAGCTGCTTGTGTTTGTTTGTTTGTTTAACGTCGCACTCAGCAGCAATATTCTAGCTATATGACAGTGGTCTATGATTAATCGAGTCTGGACCAGACAATCCAGTGATTGACATCATGAGCATTGATCTACGTAATTGGAATACGATGACATGCATCAACCATGTCAGTGATCCTGACCACCCGATCCCGTTAATCGCCTCTTACAAAAAGCTTAATCGCCTCTTAAGACAAGTTGACGACAGGTTGCTTACGACCAATCCTTCATGGGGGCTCTATAATTGTGTGTCATCGTACCCCAATGTCGTTGATGGCTCCCATGCTATCAACCACTGGTTTGCCTGATCCAGACCATATGATGAATGGTAACTGAGAAGTAGCAGAATATTGCCGACTGTCGAGTTAAGTAGTATCTACCTTTTTCCTTGCAAAAACGTTACACCAAGATGTTCACACAAGCTTGGGGTGCTTTGCAAACAGCCAATCGCTTGCTGTTGCAGACCCTGAGGTGAGTGATTAATTTGATTACTCTAAGTGATTTGTGGCTTGCAAATTGCCCTATGTCTCTGGTTTTGGATGATAAGCAACATTTGAAAGAAGTACTGGTACAGAGAACAGGCTCTTCCAAAAGTGTCAAAAATCTCAGTCTCAAATATGATTTCACAGTGGTCCATAGTTAGGGTACTGTCATGGATCACTTGTGTTGCTTTCATTGAACTCGCTAAGACATAAACGGCTTTCAACATGGTTCGATATCAGACCAAGTGCCTAACTGTAGAGAGCCGGACGCTGTGGACTCCTCCATATTCATCACATAGCTGGAGGTCTCCATCCCCACAATCTCTGTAATGGGAGGATGTTGCCCATGAGACAAGTTTCATCAAAATAGCTGGACTTGTCTGCGAAAACACCAATAAGAAATAAAAGATTTACTAGACTGCCAATGAGATGCAGCCGCAGGATCGAAGCCATCAGTCCCGACATAGCCTGCTCCCTTGGGTCAATGTTTTGGGCAAGGAGGGCGATCAGTTAAAAGTGTCACAGCTACCATACCAGACAGCCAGTAATTGGTGACCTCTTGACCAAGGTCGTATGCCTGGAAGTTGGTGATAAGGATGATGGGATTGGTCCTTCAAAAACGGAACTTGCTAATTGTTGATGTCATACAGCAACAGACACTACCTGTCCCCAAGGGCAGTGGTTTCAACATAGAATGTGATTAGTGTTAACTGTTGAGTTGGTGTATCCCAGACAGGAACTGGTCACCCTTTGGCCTTTGGTTGTTGCTTGGCAGGAGATGACAGGGATCATGTCATTTGTAGACTTTAGCAGAAAACATGAAGCCTTTAGCCTCTTCTTGTCAAACAGACACTTCTCCAGAAGGGTACCAAAAGACTTGCACAAGTGTCTTTGGCAATGATTATTGGTTTAAAACATCATTCCTAAAGAATATACATAATAAGAACAGGTTGACCCTATAAAAAAATACTGTCCACGCTTTTAGAGTTGCCTATTATAAGGATAGAATTACTATACATCCATGGCCCTAACATTGAGTACAGACTTGGAGCAAGGCTAGGGTACCTCTTCCTGTGGTCACATGTACATGCATGCCTCAAAGATTCCTGAAAGATTCCTGGGCAAGAAATATGCTTGTATGTCTCAACTGTTGTTTTTCTTGTGGATGTAGGTTACAAACTATTGTTGTTTTCAGGGGTTATTCAATAGAATTCATTTGCAAATGGATGTAATCTATTGATAAACTGGAATTGGAATTGTCCAATTCATATTAACATGGTCTTACTCTTGGCCTGGAAACAGTGCATGGTAGCCTAGAATTAATTTCATCACATTTAACTCTCCTTTTGTTTGTTTGTTTGTTTGTTGTTTAACTCTTCACTCAGCAACATTCTAGCTATGTGACGGTGGTCTGTAGATAATCGTGTCTGGACCAGACAATCCAGTGATTGACATCATGAGCATCGATCCTCGCAATTGGGATACAATAACATGCATCAATCAAGTCAGCAAGCCTGACCACCTGATTCTGTTAGTTGCCTCAAACCGCAAGCATGGTCACCTTTTACAGCAAGCATGGGTTGCTGAAGACCTATTCTAACCCGGATCTTCACGGATTGGCTCCTTTCAGACTAGCAGCGTATGTAGGCACAACGATTCCGTGCACTGAGTTGAACCATGACAAGACCCACAGACTGAGATCCAAATCCTAGATCTGCCCTGTGATGATCATTGGTCTATCAGTTCTTTTTCTTGTAGGTTTCATCAAACCTCAAACTGCCTGCGATCTGCACCAGTTTGGGCCCTCCATAATCACTGTTCAATAGCTTTGTCTGGAGAACATTTTCAATCTATTTCCCAGAATGCATTTGTGAAAGCTATGGTAGCATGCATGTATCAGTGAGACAACTGGTACCAGTTGTTAAACCATTATCATCACGTCGGTTGTTGTTGCAGTTGATTCCGAGCCAAGAATTCACTGTACCGTTCTGAATGTGCATTTGGAAAACTGATGCAACTATAGGCCATTATGCAATGTGTTGGAGAAATTATATATCAACCCAAGCATGGTTCAAATCTGAGAAAACACTCAAATCTATTCATTCTGGAAGTAGGTTCAAGAGATTCGATTAATTTCTTCTTACTGAATACAGTTTTCAGGACGAGACGAACATTTAGGCTCTGAACAAATATAATTTTGATAGAAACAAGCAGCTTCATTCAAATTGAAAAGGAGCCTCAGTGAGATAAGAGATTACCTGTGTAAAATCTAGACTTGCTTCATTTTCCGATTTTAGCATTACAGTAAAGGCTGGGAGGAAGGGAAATAATGTAGTTCAGGGATTGTGAGACAGGCTATATTCGGAACCAGCACATGCTATACAGTGTTTGAAATAAAATAAATTGCCAAAGACAAGAAGCTGCAGGCCCTGACTAAACTCAGATCTAAACTAGATCCACGCCGAAGTCCCGGTTTCGATTCCCATAATGAGTACAATGTGTGAAGCCCATTTCTGGTGTCCAACGCAGTGATATTGCTGAAATATTGCTAAAAGCAGCATAAAACCAAACTCGCTCAATCATGCACTCTGCAGGTCCTCATTTAAAATACTGCAGTTTATTGTGACAAACTAATCAACACCCAAATTAACTCCTGCCCTGCGGACCCATACAAATCTCTGCAGGCCCGACACAAGATCTACCTGCCACGGGTCTGCGTGCAGGTGCTTGTTTCCAACACTGCTACCATGGATTACCTATCCTTCCGCGTTGTATGCTGCAGATCTATCGGCACACACTAGTTGTTACTTTAGTCAGCTTCACCCAGATTTATAATTCATTCCCGTCCTGGTAATCTGATCAGCAGTGTGACATGGGGAGGCAGGTCAGATGTCTAGCCAATCAGGAGCCATCAATAATGCCCATCAGTACGGGGTTGATTACGATTAATTATCAGTTAACGAGGTGTGAAGATACAACGTGATAACTATTATCATGAAATTTATGAATGACAGCTCGTGCATTAATAATTCACATAATTGTGACGCTCGTAACAAGATTATGGCTATTGTTTCGAGGCAGAGAACTCTTGTTTCCTGAAAACTGTTTTTGTTAATGCCATTTTAAGCACATTACAAGCAATTGTTCTGAGAGGTTGTTTTTTTCATCTACCAACATTGATAATGATGTGAGAAAAATAAAATGAAAGTGTTATCTGTAATTTCTGAATAAGTGAGCTTTGTATGCGTGACACAGCGGTGGGGTAGCCTAGTGGTTAAAGTGTTGGCCTGTCACGCCGAAGGCTCGTGTTCAATTCACCACATTGATACAATGTGAAGCCGATTTCTGGAGTCCCTTTTCATGATATTGCTAGAATATTGCATACCCACTCACTCACTGAGGTGTAAAGTGGAAGTCTGTAATATTAAGGTAGTTAGCAGAGAAATTAATGTTCAAATGCCCTTTGCAGTTCCAAATTGAGGGCGATATGGTGCTGTGATCGAGAAGTTATGATTATATTTCCCTTGTGTAAGGTCAAGGTTACTCAGCCGTGTGATGATATTTCCCTGTAAGGTCAAGGTGACTCTGCAGTTGTGATTATGTTTCCCTGATGTAAGGTCAATGTGACTCTGCAATTGTGATTATGTTTCCCTGATGTAAGGTCAATGTGACCTGGCAGTGGTGCTTATAATGCCTGGCGCAAGGTGAAGGTGACCCAGCAGTTATATTCCCTGAAGTGATGCAAGGTCATCATGACCCAGGAACTTTGTTCCCACCTGACTGATGTTACGTTTGATGTCACGATCCATTAACGCGACACTGATGATACTGTGAGATGTGTAGCGTAAATTGGATTTGTTGGCTTCACAATTTAGAAATTGGTTTCTTGATGTCATACAGATTTGCTGATTATTTTTGGACTGCCAGGGGGATCACACAAGACAAATCTAATTATTATATTAATTATTAAGTCATGTAATTCTTGTCTTCTTTATAGCTTGTGAAATATGCATTGTAATCGCAAGGGTTGGTTTAGATCGATGTCGCTACATTTACCTACTGGCCATGCCACTGATTTCCTGTCTGTGTAAACATACTGGTACGATGCAAAATGAACATAGTTTCTGTCAGACCACCTCCATAGGCTAGTCAGTAGAGTGTCTGCCTGGAGGGCCGATGGTCAGTGTTAGATCCCCAGCCCCGTCTTGCCTAAAGATGTTATAATATGGTACTTGTTGTTACATGAAGCGGACACCCAGTGACGTAACTGAAATACTGTAAAAAGCAGTGTTAATCCATACTGACTCACTTATATTGGCGAAGGATTGTTTTGTTTTCTTATATCTTTTCTGTTTGTATTTGACAGAGACCATATATTATGTATGCCATTGATCAGTTGCTGTACATTAAATGATGCTGTTCCTTGCGCCATTTTGTAGATTTATCTTTCGAAATGATTTTTTTCTTACACATCCAAAATAGAGCACGTCAAATGTTGGGTTTGATTTGCTGGAGGCCCTGTGTGTTGCATTCATGTACGAACATGTTGTTATTAATGGCACCTCCTCTGATTCCTTTTTGGGAGCATGACTCGCCCAGTGGTTGCAGAGTTGTCCCCCTTAGTGGTCAGAGTTTGAATCCTGGTCCAGATCCTTGCCAGTCCTGAGCATCTGTGACCTGTGTAATTGTAATTGTTACAGGGGCATTGATCCCCACATCACTTGATCAATTGGCTAATTGCATTCATTTTTTACTCATTAATAATGGATTTAAATGTTGAAAACTAAATTAAATAATTTTGAAAAGGAATTTATAATTTCAAAATCCAATAAATTGTATCACATGATATCATGAAAGTAGAGTGTGTCTTTGATGTTGGATATCAAAGTTAACTTTGCGATCTGAAGCCAATAAAATATCAAGTTAGTGCAAATTCTGTAATTTTTTACTGTTTGTGGCAAACTTTTGTTATTGATTAAGACCTACTTTGTGTCAATCTGGAAAACAGGAATAGAACAAAAACACACAATGTTCCTTCTTGTCCGTCACATAGTGGCTTATTTATACGTGATCACCGCAAATGAAGAAGCACCTGTTGTTAGTGTTTGGTAGTCTCATGTCTCTTAATATAATTGGCATGTCTCCGATAATGCCAGGGTTTTATTCCCCACCAGGATACTATTAAGCTGATATATGGCGTATGAAATCTTTCATTGCAAGGTGTAATTCTCTCTTTTCAATTTTGTCTTCTTCTGAAGACATGTTGCTAGACTTGTCTGATTTTGTCATCCAGAATGGTTTCGATTAAAAAAAATGTGCAGATATTCCATAGACATGGTACAGGTGGTATTGGTGAAGGCCTTTCTCTGTGTCCCAAGGGCGCAGAGGTGGCCCAGTAGATAGGGTTTTTACTGGCAGCATCTGTTGGTCATGGGTTTGAATCCCAGATTCTCATAAACTATGATCCTTAGGTTTCTTGGCACCATTTTTGTGCTTATGGGTTTCAAAATGGTAAATATCTATGATGGTTCACATATTTGGCTTTCCCTTCACTTTAAGCTGAAATAATGAAATAACTGAGATAGGATACAGTAACTTCAAACCAAGGTTGTGTGCGGACGGCCCTATTGTGGTGTTACTGATGTGTTACACTGTGTTAGAATAGGTCCCCGGGAATCTGTACTGGTTGTAAGACGTGGCCAAATAGACAATTATGTGGATTGATACTCATGATGTCAATCATTGGATTGTCCGGTGTATACTTGATTATTGAGGCTGCTGTCGTATTACTGGAATATTGTTGAGTGTGGCATTATTACGCACGCTCACACGCGCGCACACATACACACACATACACACAGCACACACATACACAGAGCACACACACACACAAAGCACATACACACAGCACATACACACAGCACACATACACACAGCACACACACAAAACACACACACACACACACTCACACACACTTAAAAACACTCTCGCTCCATGAACAGTTAGATTTCTTCCCCTATTATTATTCATTCTCATAACAACAGAAAAAACACAGTATCTCAGAAAGTAGAAAGAAAAGAACACTTAGAACATAATGTTTCTGTGAACAATCCCCCAAGTATAAGGTTATGTTTGCACTAACCTTAAATTTCAAGGACAAGTCGATATTCAGTGGAGGCTAATGTAGTGAAAGTCATAAATAAGAAATGTGTTATTTGAGTATGTAAGACTTTTAGTCCTGTGCTGATGTATGGAGAGAGGGTTACTGCTGTGATCAGAGTCTCTTGTCGACCTCATCTCTTGTCTGTTTCATGAGGTAAACTGACATCCTGACACCAAGATGATGAGTCTGGCCATAGTGCCCCTGTGTTGATGAATTGTTAACTACTTTTTTTTTTAAAAAACTCTGCAAACCAGGAAGGATTAGATGTTTGAATTTATGGTTAGAAAACTTGTCAGCTTTACTTCAAGATCAGCTCTAAAAACTCTGCAAACCAGGAAGGATTAGATGTTTGAATTTATGGTTAGAAAACTTGTCAGCTTTACTTCAAGATCAGCTCAGCAGCGTGTGTGGTGGATTATTCTCCATGTGTTCAACACTCCATACATGTACTCCCTGGCTGGTATCTAGGCATGTCTACAATGCTGCATATCGTCATGGATACCTCTTGTTTCAGTGTCGTCAGGCAGCGAGCGGGGCATGCCAGGGATGCGGGCGACGTTCAACCCGCTGTTCCAGGGCAGCGGTAGTCGTGATGTCAGCTCCGACAGCATGACGTCACTAATGAGCACAAGCACTGGTCACTCGGCCAGCCCACTGTCCACTACGCAGAGACCCCACTCTATTACAAGTAAGTTATGCTTGAAACAATACTGCTGGACAGTAAACAATATGCTCAATACTGCTGGACAGTAAACAATGAATTCAATACTGTTGAACAATACTGTTGGACTGTAAACAATGTATTCAATACTGTTATATAATGTATTCATTACTGTTATGCAATGTATTCAATACTGTTATAATATGTATTCAATACTGTTGGACAATAAACAATGTATTCAATTCTGTTATGCAATATATACAGTACTGTTATGTAATTATTCAATACTGTTATATAATGTATCCAATACTGTTTTATAATGTATTCAATACTGTTATACAATGCATGCAATACTGTTATAATATGTATTCAATACTGTTGGACTACAAACAATGTATTCAATACTGTTATATATACTGATTCAATACTGTTAAATAATGTATTCAATACTGTTATGCAATGTATTCAATACTGTTTTATTATTCAATACTGTTATACAGTGAGTTCAATACTGTTGGACTGCAAACAAGTAAATCAATACTGTTGACAAAAGTCAAACTGATGGTTTCTTTGGGATTATAACATTATTCAGTTGTGTTGGGCTATAAATAGAATACTTCATACTATTGGGCTATACACTAAGTCTTCAGTACTGTTGGAATATAATGAATATATTCAATACAGTGATGTAAACATTACCAGTATTCATTATTCATCTGATATGTTATCACCATACTGTGTTGTGGATTTCCCATAGTGTAAAATGTCAAGGACGTGCGTCACTTAGTTACCAAAGTGATGTAATCAAATGCCATTCAAAGCGTCATAAACCCAACTCACTAAATCTGGCGTCGGGAATTCTGACAGTAGCATACAACGTTCAACACCATTCTAAGATATGATTGGTTTGGTGTTGAAAGATATGAGACCCATGAAGATCCGTGGTAGAATAGGCCTTCAGCAACCCATGCTTTCCATAAAAGGCGACTATGCTTGTCGTAGAAGGCAACTAACGGGATCGGGTGGTCAGGCTCACTGACTTGATTGATGCATGTCATCGATCCCAATTGCGTGGATCGATGCTCATGATATTAATCACTGGATTGTCTGGTCCAGACTCGATTATTTACACATTGCCGTCATATAGCTGGAATATTGCTGAGTGCGGCGTAAAACAACAAACCAACCAATCTAAGATATGATGATGATTATGAAGGCTGTTATGAATGGGATGTTTTGTCTTTCTCAGCATCAATGCCTGGTGCTATAGAAGAGTTGCCGTTGTTCGGCAAGCGCCGGTCTTCCCTGCGAAGGTCAGCACGGGCAACTGTGTCTCACACTGATGGGAAAGGTGAGTGTCTTCGACTTCTAAACATCTGAACCTCACATCTGTGGTCCCAGTCCTCTTAGGCATCCCCAGTAACAATCACACTCAGTATGTTCACATTGTATGGAAGTACGTCATTTCAGCCAGTCTTGATTGCATAGTGTGAAAATGTTTGGTCAGGCGTTCTGATGAGCATTCAGAAGGATGTCCGGTACACAAGTGGCCCTGTCACCCAAGGTGCCACTATTTACTGTGCAGAGTTGTGTCCCTTATGTATGTCGCAAACCTATGAACATGGGTTTGAATCCCAGTTCACCTTGATTATGATTCGAGGTTTGTCAGCACCATACTCATGCTCATGCATTTCACCACTCACTCACTCACTCACTCACTCATTCACTCACTCACTCACTCACTCACTCACTCACTCACTCACTCACTCACTCCGCTTTCCTCCTACATTATGCAGGGTGATGTGGTAGCCTAGTGGTTAAAGCATTCGCTTGTATTCCCGAAGACTGGGGTTTGAGTCCCCACTTGGGTACAATGTGTGAAGCCCATTTCTGGTGACCCCTGGAATATTGCTAAAAAGCGACGTAAAACCTGACTCACTGTCTCACTCCAACAGTAACCTGACACTCCATGATATAAGTGGAGTACTGTTCATAGTGGCATTAAAACTCACTCATTCAGAATCCGGTCATTGACTCATGCTGCTAGATGCTCAGTGAATCCAGCTACCCTATGTTCCTATTACTTTCAGGAGATTTAGCCCTGGGCCAGCCTATATACCCTAAGCCAGGTACCTTGTCAGTGTTGTGATTGGTGGATATATGTATATTACACCTACTTTCAATATTAGTTTAGCTGGGAAGGATGCAGTATTTACGAATCACTTTGCTCACATTTGATTGGTCAAATCATCTGTTTGTTCAAAGAATTATGTAAATTATTGTGAAGCTGCTATGTGGGAATGCTGTCTTGATTCTGGCATTGAAATGTAGTAGTGCGCTAAGGGTCAGTGGTAAACAAATAATCGTTTATTAACGGGTTCTGGGGTTGGACATTTATTGGTGTCTGGTTCTGTTCATCTTGAGTAATAATGACAGTATTTTATGAGCTACATGAAATTGCACATTCAATCTCCCCGTGAATCGATGGCAAGACTCCATACTGACAACATCAGTTGTGAAAGGCCAATGGGTGTTACGGGTAGCACAACCATCAAAGGCTCCACAATTCTCAGAGTTGCATCCCTTGGGCACGCCAGAAACCTATCATCATGGGTTTGAATCCGGGATCGCCCTGATTATGTTTCTAGGTTTGTCAGCACCATACGGGTAGCACAACCATCACAGGCCCAGACGTCTAAGGCGCCGTGATTCGCTGTGCAGAGTTGCGTCCCTTGGGCATGCCAGAAACCTATGATTGTGGTTTCGAATCCCGGTTCGCCCCGATTATGTTTCTAGGTTTGTCAGCACCATTACCGTGCTCGTGGGTTTCACCGAAGTGGTAAACGTCTGAGACCTGCTTTACTGCAGGCTTCCCTCCCACATCAAGCTGACACGCCGCGATATAACTGAAATACTGTTCAAAGTGTTACGCCAAACTCACTCACTCACTCACTCACTGAAAGGCAAATCCAATCCATATATCAGAATATATTGTAAGTAGTCTTGTGTTATTTCATTTCAAGAATTCATTATTGTTGTTTGCATGTAATCATTCTGATTCTTTCCCCTAGTGGTACTGGTAGATGTTTCCATCAATTTTCTGTGCAGTTTCTGTAGTCAGTATGTAGTTCTGTGTGTTGTGAACCAGTGTGTTAGACATGACCTCAGTGTTTCATTACTGGGATGAGGGACTTGTCTGCTGAGTGGACTAAACTACATGGAGCCTCATTCAGGGGCATTGGAATAGCCTTGTGGTTAAAGCTTTAGCTCATCATGGTCTATCCCAGGTTCGATTCCCCACATGGGTACAATGTTTGAAACCCTCTTCTGATGTCCCCTGCCTTGTTCTTGCTGGAATATTGCTGAGAGGCACTATTAAACCGTACTCACTGTACACTTGCTGCTCTTCTTAATTCTCTCTACTCAATGACACTGCCCATATCCCCGGGTAACAAGCACCTGTTTTGTCTTTTGATATATTTGTATAAAAGAATTTTTTAAACTGGTAAACAATTATCATATTTTAGTAATTTATATCTCATGGTTCATGTCTGTTGTGGGGCGCTGCTTTTATCCTCCTCAGAATTGCCTCCATTAGGCGTGCCATGAACCTACGAACATGAGTTCAAATCCCAGATCTTTCTTGGTTTGTCAGCACCATGCCTGTGCTCGGTGGTAAATATCTAAGACCAGGCTTTCTCGTGACATTTGGGGCGGTCGGGTAGCCTAGTGGTTAAAGCGGTCGCTCGTCACGCCGAAGACACGGGTTCGATTCCCGACATGGGTACAATGTGTGAAGCCCATTTCTGGTGTCCCCCGCCATGATATTGCTGGAATATTGCTAAAAGCGGCGTAAAACCATACTCACTCACTCACTCTCGTGACATTTTGGCATGACTTGACATACTGTTCCAAATAGTACAACCACCCCCACGTTACTGCTGTATATGTCTCATTATCGTACACTGTGTATATACTCGTGACACAAGTGTCCATGTGGCTGTTTCAGTGAGGTTCACGCCGATCCGACCCCCCCAGCTCCACCTGGCTTCCATGCAGTTTGAGGTGCCCCACCCAGAGGGAACGGCCATCTTCCTCGGGAGAGAGTGGCTCTTTAGGGAGATTGAAATGGTAAATTGTGTTGTCTTCTTGAATGAGAATGGGTACAATGTGTGAAGCCCATTTCTGGTGTCCCCCGCCGTGATATTGCTGGAATATTGCTAAAAGCAGCGTAAAACCATACTCACTCACTCTCGAATGAGAAAAATAACGTATTGAAATCATAGGTAAGAAAACGTATAACTTTTAATGATAACTTCTGGTTAATGCATTAGTGACATATCGATGTAGGTTCTTGCACTCTTCTCAAGCTGAAATCATGACATTTTGCCTTAAATCCTGATGTGGATTGTTTTCTGTAGTTTGTGGGTAGCATTGGGTTGTAGTTAAGGTTGACACTAAAGATCTGGATTTGAATCCTCTTGATGGTACAATGTGTGAAACCTCCAGACCCAATATGGCTACAACGTTGTGAGACCCGTGAAGATCTGGGTTTGAATAGGTCATCAGCAACCCATGCTTGCCATAAAAGGCGACTATGCTTGTCGTAAGAGGCGACTATTGGGTGGTCTGACTTGGTTGATGGATGTCATCGTATCCCAAATGCATAGATCGATGCTCATGATGTCAATCACTGGGTTGTCTGGTCCAAACAAACAAACCACCTTTCACTCACAATATCTTCCTTTCTGATTATTGGTCATTGTACATGGTCTTTGCTCACCATTGACAGTTGATTTGCCTGTTCAGTCTCAATTACTTTTATGGCTGTCAACATGATGTAGCTGTGATAGGTGTGATCTGAGTCACTCACTCACTCATACTTGACCTTGATGTGTTTACAGGTTCTCAATGGTGAAGGTCCTACAAGGTCACAGGGGGTCACACTAACCGGTCATATCGGCAGCGGCAAGACAGCCATCTTGGAACAACTAGTTAACTACAGCTGTTTCGGGGATGGCAAGGGGGGAATAATCTCCAATGGAGGTGGGTCAAATGTATTTCCTATTTCAAGGAACATCAATGTAATTAAGCTATAATAAGATATGTTTTGGGCTTGTTTTGGTAAAAAAAACAAAATAGAAGTCCATCATGTTTTTTGTTAAATTTCAAGTGGATGATGGCCGGGACAAGGTTTTATGTGCCTTAATTTTTCTTTGCAGAGTTGTGTCCCTTAGATGTGCCGTGATCATGTTTTCAAATTCCCAGTGTTGATCCTTGCTCTGATGGCACATACTTTTGTTTTTTAATTGTTAGTCTTCAAGTCTATGACCTGCATCATTTTGTAGTTTTTATAATTAAGTTGACATGCCATGATGTTACACTATTCAAAGCCGTGTTAAACACTCCTCACTATAATCTATTCATACAATGATTTAATGTTGTTATGTAGATATGCAGAATGGCTTCGGTCACAGCCCGACAGTCACGCTCAGCAGCATGACCAGCAGCGCCCGTGACAGCCCTCACTCCTACCTCAGTGTGTCTACGGCAAACCTCAACTACGACTCCCTCAAGAGTCTTGGATCCCAAGTTGTTGCCTACCACTTCTGTCAGGCGGACAATAATGTGACCTGTATGGTGCCTGACTTTGTACATAGCCTGGCGTCGTATCTCGCCCGATCTCCGCAACTCACCACCTACCGGGAGATGCTGCTGCAGGAACCTCACATCCAACACTTGTTGAGTCTAAAGGAGTGCATCCTTAACCCATCTTTGTCTTTCGTGAAAGGAATCTTGGAGCCGTTAAGGATGTTGAAGAATAAAGGCAAAATTGACTCGGATAGTTGTATCATATTGGTGGACTCCTTAAACGAGGCAGAATTCCACAAGCCTGACCATGGCGACACCATTGCTTCCTTCTTGTCTCGCCACATCAACAAGTTCCCATCATGGCTGAAAGTGATAGTGACAGTGCAAACCGTTCTTCAGGACATTGTGCGGAGCTTGCCTTTTCACCGAGTGCATATAGACAAAATATCGGGCAATGATATGGTGCTGAGAGATCTCGGGGAATACCTCAACTACAGAATCAATGCAAACTCCAGAATACGGAATAACATTAGTTTGAACGGGAGATTAGATGCATCAATGCAACAGAAATTCTGTGGTCATATACAGACACTCAGCAAAGGGTGTTTCCTCTACTGTAAACTCGTCCTTGACCTTATTGAAAAAGGCCATGTCGTGATCAAAAGTTCCAATTACAAAATCTTGCCTGTGAATGTATCGGAAATCTTTCTCTTGCATTTCAATCTCAAATTTCCGAGTGTAAGATCGTTTGAGAAGATTTCCTCGGTTCTGGGAGTGTGTTTAGCATCGTTGTACCCGCTCACGATGGAGGAAATATACCTGACGGTCAACTCCGGATACATTCAGAGATTCGTAGCGTGGCCTGAGTTCCAGTCCAGGATGGAAGTTTTGTCAGGGTTCCTCCATCGCCGTAGCGACAGTAGACTCATGTTCTTCCATCCCGCCTTCAGGGAGTGGCTTATTAGAAGAGATGACACTGACTCTCCAAAGTTTCTCTGCGATCTTCGGTAAGCTGACACAAGCTTTTGCTTGCTTTTGCATGGTTCCATACCTGTCATCCCTCAGACGGAAGAGTCCACAATTGTAAAATTACATCTAGGCTGTTGTCGTCATTGGTGAATATGTATGACGAGATCACCAAACTGATATTCTTTGTCACAACATTCTTGAATTTATTGGCAATTTGGGCAGATAAAATCTGGTTCTCGTGCAGAAAGCAATTTTAGCTCTGTCATTATCTTAAGTCATTATGTACGGGTAGTAATAGGTAGTGGTAACAGTGATAGAGCTCAAATTGCTTTGTGGAAGCAAATTCAGTCGAACTAATAGAAAATAAATCACCTCGTTTGTATCCTTTCATTTTCATTTTTCTGAATACGAGACAAAAAGTGTTATCAAAGATGTGGTACAAATTCTAGATTGTCAAGGAATTTGTGGAATATTTAATGCTCTTAAATACCATTATAAACTTCATAACTGTTTGTGATTCCTTTCAAACAAATGTCATAAATTCAAAAATAATAGGGCAGAACTCCATTAATCAACGTCTCAATGTTCAGAAAATATAACCAGTATGTAGTTAAAAAAAATATTTAATCCATAAAAGGTTTGATATATTCTGGTCCTATTTTGTGATAATGGTTTCAAATTTTGATGTAATTAGTCATTAGGAAACATTGATTCCTTTGTGCTCTTCGGTCTGATTGGGGGACAGGGTCCAGGTTTAAGGACCATATTTTCATCACATAGCAGACTGGTTGTTTTTGTTGCAGGGCTCAGGATTCTGATGCTGTGGCGTTATTTGCTTCTTTAATCTATGAACTATTTCCATCTGTAAACCTTTTCATCATTAACTCTCATTAGATAATTCTTTAGGATATTTCTGTTAAAATCGGCGTTTTGTATGTTGTAATATGAACAGCCGTGTTGCAGCTTCAGAGTGATGTATAAGCTGCACCATTTGCCGAATGTATGTGCACATGATAAGGCCTATTTATTTTAATTACTTGGTTTGCAGTTATTTTTAATCAGTATCTATATTGGTCAAAACAATTTTTTTATTTTTTTTCAATAAATGTCTGAAAAGTACTGTTGGTCAGGTAAAATAAATAAAAATCAAGTAAAAAAATCTTAAAGGGTTTCTTCTGCTCTATATTATTTTTTGAATACTTTTAATTTCGGAAATTAGTAATGGTGATTGGAAGAAACAATATGTTTTCGAAATTGTTATTCTGTCAGAATTTCGTTCGCGGATCTGTAAACCATATAATTAAAATTTAATCCCGAATCGGCTTTTGACAAGTGTTCTGCTTTGTAAGGGGATTGGTTCAGTACATAATTTGTTTTCTAAGCTTATTAGAAGTAAATACACTTGTTGACACATCAATATTGATTACGAACTCACACACATTATGTATGGTCATACATATCTGCATGCTGCTATAGGACGGGGCCTCCACACTGATACTGCTCTGTGATATATCCTTGCACTTCTATAGATGACAATGTTATGACTAAATGTCCTATGACAGATATGTTTGTAAGTTTAAAGCAGTGTTGCACCCAGGTCTGTGGTCCCAAGTGACCCTTCTTTACCCAGCATATGAACAAGAACATTAGAAGACGATTAGGGTTGAAAGCTTTAGGGTTTGCGAAATTGGTGATCACTTTACTCTGAGAGTTTCTATTCACTCTTATTGGTGGATCTGTCAGAATTGCCATTATCATATTACCCTTTGATATACTGAACCCCTAGAAACAATAGGTCACTAGCAATCTGTGAGGGTCGTATGAGGCTACTAATTTATTGTTGGTCAGGCTGGGGATCTTGTATTGGTTGATGGCGTGTCAGCAGCGTAATCAGACACCATCATTGCTCATAATATCAATCACTGGATTGTCTTATTTCACAGTCCGCTGTCATATAGCTGGAATTTTGGTTATTTTGAAATCTTGATTGAGTATTTACAAGCATAGTGTCTTATATTGTCATGTACCTTTGGGACTGTTGAACCAAACTCATTCTCTCCCCATGGAAAGGATAGGATTCCTAAAATGTGTTATTCACCCGTCCAATGTTAAGTAGTGCAATGTTTCTCATTGGTCACTGGGCTATAAAAGTTGTATTCACCAGTCAAGAAGTACAATGTTTCTTGTGGATCAGGGGCAGTCGGGTAGCATAGTGGTTAAAGCGGTCGCTCGTCACGCCGAAGACCTGGGTTCAATTCACAACATGGGTACAATGTCTGAAGCCCATTTCTGGTGTCCCCCGCCTTGAGATTGCTGGAATATTGCTTAAAGCGGTGTAAAACCATACTCACTCTTGTGGGTTATTGGGGCATAAATGTGTTATTCACCAGTTCAATGTTAAGTAGTACAATTTTTCTTGGGGATCATGGAGGCATAAATGTGTTATTACCAGTCCAATGTTTAGTAGCACAATGTTTCTTACGGGTCACTTGGATATCAATGCTGGATCACAACCTTGGCGCAACACTGAAATGATAAGGATTATGAAACTATCTAACCTTGAGCTGAAGTACCATTAATATGTGACTGTTTCCTTCTGACATACATGAACTGTAGTTATGTTGTTTCTCTTCCGCATGCAGCAGTGCCGAGTTCGACTACAGGTGAGCGTGCAGCGAATGCCATTGTTGTGATCTGTATCATCATACTGCCTATGTTCTATGTGTTGTACCAGACACATGTGACACTGCCCACACATGGCCCTATTCAGTCTATACAGCTATAGAGCCCTGATCATGTATATGTGAAAAATATGAAGATTTCTACGGTTTGCAGTTTTGGATTTTGGGGATTTAAAAAAAAAAAAAATTGTATAATCTCCCACATGTTGAAGGGATATTCTAAGGGGGTGAGGGGGTAGTAATAGGCTGAATCTATTCATATTTTGGGCTGCACCGGATGCAAGCGATCCAGATACAGTATTATCCAGATATGATATTAGTTTCCTTCAAGAAGTAATATTAAGAGGTTAGTGACCCATCCTGTTCAGGTAATGGTTCAGGGGTCCTGTTCTACAAAGTGCTTTTGGTGCTTCGACAATCATAGTCTATGTTAAAGTATTGGACCTATGATAGTCCTTGCACCATCTCTTTGTGGTCAGAGCCTGCTGCTGAAGTTGTGGGCTCAGCATCTTGCTGTACAGACTGGACCGGGCTGGTGTACCAAGTACAGTGTCTTCAGTACCTGGACACGACCCGGGTGTACTGGACAGTCTGAGGGTGTCATGATCAACACACTTTGACAAATCCAAACCATTTTCTGGTGCTTGTGTTACAGTATTCTTGCATTAATCAGGTAGATTCTGTTCATCGGTCCATGGAGATTTATGTTGACAATGTTCATGCTTCTGTAACCTTCATCTATGTACTGGATCTGCATGGTCAGTGTCAATAACATTACAGGCATATAGACATCATCTTCAGGGTCCAGCGTTATAGATGGCTTGACGATCATATAGACTATTGGTCTTTGAATTGATTTATTTCTTTTAAGTTGTCTATTAATATATGATAGAAAGGAGCCAGAAAATCTCTTCATTTTCAGAAGAAATCTAGACTTGCCAAACTATTGTAGACTTGCTTGGAGTTTTATCTGGGTCTGTAATAAAACTAAGGATTATATTGTGTTAGCATGCCATTTAGGAACAAAATTAACATTTAATGAAAAGTAATTAAATTAGCAGTTTTTAGGAACAAAATAATATTAAAGGACTTTGTCGTTCCATCTAGACTTCCTAATTATGAAGATACAATAACCGGAATGACATTTTTCCTTTTCTGTAGCCTTGCATTAAGGCTAGACCAGTTGCAACTTGACATCAACGGATGAGAAATCAATATATTCAAAACACTGATATGGAAATAATAATAGCGTAAATAAATTAGACGGTGGAAAAACCCGGAAACGACAATCAGCTACCTGATATACAGTGTGGATGAATGAATTCATGGTAATTGTGTTACTGGTAGGTTTTGAATATGGACATTGTGAAATAGGAAAATATGGTAAAACCTTTCGTTTATTGTACCTGATTTATCAGAAGGCCAGACCAACATATTTCCTTGTTTTACAGACAAGGCGAGGCTATATTTTGAAAAAGTAATTAAAATTGAAAACTTTAATGCAAACTTTGATTGAAATTTGTTTTATTTACAATGTTGTTTGTTTCTGACATTTGTCTGTCCAGTCTGACATTATGGCCAACAAAATCTGTAAAATATTGATAAAATTGTCTAGACAAACTACTGGTATGTCAAAAGGGTAGTGCATTCATCATGTCGTATAATTTATATTCAGTGTCATTGAAAATAATGTATTCTTTGCTATAATATTTACAATTAAAATGAATTCAGCTCAGAAACTACACCTAGCTCAAATAAGTCACTAATATATTTAAATAAACACTCGAGAACAACCAATCACGATCATCAGTCAAAACAGATTCCATTGGGCGTAATGCAAAAGAGAGGTGACAAAATATATGAATGGATCCCTGAAAATCAGTGGTGACACCAGGTGTTCACAAAACATTCCAACTAACACAGATCCTGCCAAGTAATGCAGTGATATGGATTTATAGTTGAAATAATGCTATACGTAATATCTGTGTGAAAGATTTGGCACTAAACATTTAATACCTCGACATCATTGCTACATGTATCAGTGCATGATTTGTATGTACTCAAGGAGACGGCATGTACTTGATAGACTGAATGTACAGTCCTCTCGGTGTGGCCAGCATGGACAACTATTTAGAATGCAGGTTTGAATTGATAAATGTGTGGTTTGGATTTGATAAGTTTGTTGACCATGATATTGTTTTTTAGCTAATTAGTTTTATTTCAGAATATTTTCATGTTCAATGATTTATTCATGTTGAGATTTGTTTTAAAAAAATTATTATTATTATTTATCTATTTATCTATTTATTTATTTATTTATTTATTATTATCTATTATGATTTATTTGTTATTATTTAAAAAACAAAACAATTTCCTTTTTTTTTCTTCTTTTTTTGTTAGTTTACTGTAGTTACCAGCATTATTAAATGGTTTATTGGTTACTGATGTTGATAACTTTCAAAGGGAAAGTAAGAGTGTGATCAGGCAGCTGCTGCAACAATTATGACATCTTAATCAGTTGTTCTTTATTGATCATTGTTTCTTTGATTCAGTTACTTTTACTGTTTTTGGTTTGGTTGTTGTATGATCTAATGATTGAAAGCTTATTTACTTCACCATATCCTTGAGGCTTCTTGTATTTACATGTTATGCAAGAACAATAACAGAAATGTACAAACTGCTTGACAGGAACGTTCAAGATGAACAGCAAATGATGGTTGATCATTGATGTTGTTTCAGTTACTATAGCGATACTGCATCTGTGCATGGACTGTTGTACACTTCAAGAAATATCGGTCGAAATATTTTTAGTTTTGTTGATTAAGTTTGATAAGAGTAAGGACTCTCACAAGATTTCGTCGTAATTGTCTCCAACCTCATTAAAATCAGTTGTTTATTGGGATACAAAACCTCTCTGTGTGAAGATCTGAGGACAACCATCAGGTTGAACTTTCCAATAAGCCAATCAGTGTCAAGGCGTCAAACTTCTTGTTATGAGTAGGCGAAAGGATGTCTGATTTCTGTATCTCGAAAAAAAATCTAATCTAAGAATCCTGAAAGGAGAAGCGTAAAACTGCACTACGATATTGTTTGGGGTTTGATGTTAACAAATCTTATTCACAAAAGTGATTGGGATTGGGTACAAGTTCTCCAACTTAGGACAACTTCTCCCACACAAGTTAACACTTGTACCATGCTTGTCATAAGAGGCGACTAACAGGATCAGGTGGTCAGGCTCGCTGACTTGGTTGATGCATGTCATCGTATCCCAATTGCATAGATTGATGCTCATGAGGTCAATCACTGGATTGTCTGGTCCAGACTGGATTATTTATTGACAGCCGTCATATAGCTGGAATATTGTTGAGTGCAGCATTAAACAGCAAACAAACAAACAAAAACTAAACATGAACGAAACAAGGAAAGAAAGAATACGAAAGATAAATAAACAGTAAGAACAATATGGTTTACATTGTTGTGGGTATGTCATACATCCTGTTCTCCCATGGCATCGACACCCAAAACAGTGTACTACAGAGGGTATAATTGTGTTCTGTTGCCAAGAGCGAAATATTTGGATTGAAGTGGTGAAAAAAATTAAGCTAAATTGTTTTAAAAGACTGTCATCTGATTGTCTCAGGAACTCAAGCATTCTTCTTGTAGATTTGGAGGTCAAAGTTCAGAGTTCAGCTGATGCAACCTTCTATGGAGGTGACCTCAGATCTTCACGCAGTGATGTGTCGTATCAGAGTAAAAGATCTGATTTTAATGAGGTTGTAATTATCTACAAATGACACACAGTATCTATAAACACTTCCTGTCCAATTAGTTGAAATGCACAGTGTGACAACACATCCAATTTATACAATTTTTTTGTTAGTGTTATTCTTTGATTAATATTAATTATTGCTCGTAAAAGACTTTTTCCATCATGAAGATGTGGAAAATATGAAGAAGACAATATGGAGTATTGTGAAAACTAAGCCATTAATTAATTAAATTTATTATTTCCATCTTCAGGCTCTTCTCTCGATAGGCTATTTTCCAGATGTCGATTTTTCAAGACTTAATTCTTTTGATGTTTTGTGCAAGAATTTCGTGAAAGTTTGATTTAAAAATCTTATGCGTCCTGCATCATTTCTTGAGATGTCTGGATGAAAACATCAAAACCTAGTGTTGTAAAGGGTGTGGTAAACAATGTGTTAGTGCTGGTACTCTTTCAAATGATTGGTTGGTTGTTTTTTTACACCTCACTCAGCAATATTCCAGCTATATGACGGCGGTCTGTAAATAATCGATCTCTCAAATGACTAAAAGTACCTTAGATTAGAGATGTACCTAGCTTAGGCCAAACGATATATATATATATATATATTATGTTTTTTCTTCATTTTATGCGTTGGTCAATCTGCTGAGATGCGAGAGTGACAATAAAGAATTCAGTGTACATTTGAACTAATAGTTATAGAAATAACCCCCAAAGTCATTATATTTTCAATAAATCGCACCGGATTATCAATTTTTAATTTACTTATACAAGATCTCAGATGGTCTCTTCAAGACAACAAAACAAATTAATCCGGCTCCTTGGACTGGCTATAGTGTGCTGTGTGTTAGGTAAAGCCTGGGTATTGAGCAAGCTGGTTGCTAGGAGACTGAATGTCTTCAATGTATCTGCTGCTGTTTCAGGAATGGACATGCTCTGATGGCTTTCCGGTTGTCACGTGTGTCAGCGCCCCTCGGACCTGACAAGACGATAGAGCTTGGCCACCACATTCTGAAGGCGCACATCTACAAGAACGTCAGCAAGCAGCTTGGATACTCCTCGCGGGACATGCAGGCATACTGGATGTGCCTCAGTTCCGACAGTCTCAGCAGCGCTCTTGTGTCACAGAGGAACGTCTATTCTCCTAATGTCAAGGTAGGCAGGATGGTGGTCAAGGTCAAGGGTCAAGGTTAAGGGTCAATAATTTTGGAATATTTCACTTTTTACATATGATAAGGGAAAACTCACTCGCTCCCTCACTCACTCATTCCAAGCAGGTCTTTGTTGGACATCATTGTACACTTGTTCTCACTGATGGCCCAGTGGGTCATGCGTTACTTCATCCTCTGGAAGATCCTTGTTTGATTCCTTTTTTCATAAAGCTGCATAAATTCCATTTTGTCCCTGCAGGTGAGTCGTCTGATCCTCCTGTCTGGCGCCAACCCCAACTGCCGCACAGAGTTCAACAACAACGCCCCCGTGCTGTGTGTGGCAAGCAAGGAGGGCTACTCCGACATGACGTCACTACTCCTGGAGTTTGGGGCTGACATCGATGCTGTCTCCGAAGTGGGCATGTCTGCGCTGTGCTATGCTGCTGCTGCCGGGCACACTGACGTTGTACGCTTGCTGTGCTTGCAGAACTCTAGGGTAAGCAGAGACAGGTTTAGGAGCCACACATCTGAGTTAATTCACAGCATAGCCTGTCCAGTATTAAAAAAAAAATTCATAGGTCACCTGAATTTGATTATTCCCTGAATTACAAGAAAATGTTGTTGTTTTCACTTCTGTATGCAATAGAGTAGCTTTATTATACCCATAGACTCAGGATTATCAAAACTACAACATTGTTTCAATTATGATACTATTATTTATTAATTATCATTCTTTATATCTATATTTACATGTGTCCCCATGGTAATTGCTCCATAGCCACCTATGATAGTCGGGGGCACGGGTGGCCCAGTCGTCTAAGGCACCGCGATTCGCTGTGCAGAGTTGCGTCCCTTGGGAACGCCAGAAACCTATGATTGTGGGTTCGATTCCGGTTCGCCCTGATTAAGTTTCTAGGTTTGTCAGCACCATACCCGTGCTCTTGGGTTTCACCGAAGTGGTAAACGTCTGAGACCTTTGGGCTGACACATTAAGCGAACACGCCGTGATATAACTGGAATACTGTTAAAAGCAGCGTTTAACCAAACTCACTCTCTCACCTCTGATAGTCATAAGAGGCAACTGATTGGGTGTTTGGGGTCAGTGACTTGGTTGATTGCATCATACCCAGAAAGCATGGATCGTTGTTCATACTATCAATCACTGGTTTGTCTGGCCCAGACTCATTTATTTACAGGCTACCATTCTATAGCTGGAATATTGCTGAGTATGGTGTTAGACAACAAACATTATTATCCTTGTACATAATTTGCAATATTAATGTTTCCATGTCTCCTGTGTTGTAGCTGTCACTGATAGACAACCAGGGTCAGTGTAGCGTGATCCACGCGGCCATCCACGGCCACCTGGACACCATGGCCCACATCCTGCAGTTCGACTGGCCCCTGTTCCACGGGGAGCCCACCAAGCCAGAGGCCATGCAGCAAGCATTTGTGATGGCCGCGGCCACGGGACACAAACATGTGAGTAACTATTACTTTCGCACCGCCTTTTTGCGACCATCTCTGTGGTCTAGTGGTAGAGGGGGCACAGGTGGCCCAGTTGTCTAAGGCACCGCGATTCTATGTGCAGGGTTGCGTCCCTTGGGCATGCCAGAAACCTATGATTGTGGGTTCGAATCCTGGTTCGCTCCAATTATGTTTCTAGGTTTGTCAGCACCATACCCGTGCTCGTGGGTTTCACCGAAGTGGTAAACGTCTGAGACCTGCATCACTTCGGGCTTTCCTCCCACATTAAGCTGACACACCGCGATATAGCTGGAAAACTGTTAAAAGTGGCGTTAAACCTAACTCACTCACTCACTCACTCACTCTAGGCGACTAACAGGATTGGATGGTCAGGCTCGCTGACTTGGTTGATGCATGTCATCGTATCCCAATTGCGTAGAATGATGCTCATGATGTCAATCACTAGATTGTCTAGTCCAGACTCGATTATTTACAGACCGCCGTCATATAGCTGGAATATTGCTGAGTGCGGCGTTAAACAACAAAGAAACGAACAAAGAAAATTAACCTTATTTGTAACTTTATTTCCGTGACTCTATGTGAGTCTAGAGGGTGGTGTGTACGTACATGTGTTCATCTGTGTGTGTCTGTCCCCAGATCTGTGAGTACCTGATGCATGCCAGCGGTGGAGCTGGTCTCAACATGGTGGACACCCTGCTGGGGGAGACTGGTGAGTACAACATGGAGGACATCAAATAGAAGCAGTGGTCAAGTAACCTGTCATTTCTTGAGTCTAGTTGGGAGCAGCATATTTCTTCCATGATACACTATGCTTCAGAATCTGTTAATCTATTTTATTATTTTAATCTATATCAGATTATTCAGAAACCCTATTAATTCTATTAAGGCCTTAGACTGGTTGACAGGAAAGTGGTATATGGGTCAGAATAAAGGGATTAACCAAACACACAGGATCTGAGGTGGTGCAATATGCTGTGCAGAGTGGCTTCCCTTTGCAAAGCCAGGATCTACTGATCATGGAGAAGAAATCAAAATTCACACTGATTCTGATCCTCGGATTGTCAGCAACATAAGTGTCCTCAATTTTTTACCAAACTGTTAAACATCTAAGACCTTTTGGCTTTCATCAATAATTAAGCTGATCTGTCATGACGCTACTGAAATACCAACTCATTCACCCCACACTCATTATCTCTTCAGCTCTGACAGCAGCATGTCTCCATGGGAAGAAGGAGGTTGTGCAGTTCCTCCTGGATGAAGATGTGGCTGTGCACGTCCCCAACAGCAAGTCCTTCAGTCCCCTGCTGTGTGCTGTGAAGGCGGGAAAGTGGGAGATCGCGGACACACTGCTGGCGGTCGGAGCACCCATAGATCAGACGGACAAGTATGGCCGCACTCCCTTGATGATCGCCGCCAGCGAAGGACATATTGGAGTCTTGGAGATGTTGCTGCTGAAGTGTAAGACATAGTCATTCATATCCAGGAAAGAAAAAATGAATGGACTATTTTACTTTTGGAAAAGTAATGGTTACCTGGAAAATGGTTACATTGAAAAGTAATCAATCTCTGAAAAGGATAATTTGCTAAGTCTCGTGCTGCTGAGAATAACAGAACACCACTCACTCATTCACTTTCCTCCAGGTGCCCAACTGGACCAGATAGACAAGGAAGGCCTGACAGCTCTCTGCTGGGCTTGCCTTAAAGGTCATCTTGCCATCGTCCAGTCCCTGGTTGATCGTGGCTCCGACATCCATCATGTGGACAAGAGTGGCCGCAACCCACTTCACCTAGCTGCTTTCTACGGGGATGCTCAAGTTGTAAGTCCTTCCCCTTTACAGGATTCTGGCCAGATAGGCCAGTTATGCCATGCTTATACGAGCTGACTACAAGTAGGGTTTAGTGGTAACAGTGTCTGCTACTCAGAAGCTCCTGGAATGGCTTGACAGATTGACTATGGTCGTATGAAAAGATCAAGTGTTGCTTCTAATTTATTTTTTAATGTGTCTTCATTCTCTTATTCAGGTGCAATATCATATATAGCATCTTCCTCTCATTCAGGTGCAATATCTCATATTACATCTTCCTCTCATTCAGGTGCAATATCTCATATAACTCCTTCCTCTCATTCAGGTGCAATATCTCATATAACATCTTCTTCTCATTCAGGTGCAATATCTCATATAACTCCTTCCTCTCATTCAGGTGCAATATCTCATATAACATCTTCTTCTCATTCAGGTGCAATATCTCATATAACTCCTTCCTCTCATTCAGGTGCAATATCTCATATAACATCTTCTTCTCATTCAGGTGCAATATCTCATATAACTCCTTCCTCTCATTCAGGTGCAATATCTCATATAACTCCTTCCTCTCATTCAGGTGCAATATCTCATATAACATCTTCTTCTCATTCAGGTGCAATATCTCATATAACTCCTTCCTCTCATTCAGGTGCAATATCTCATATAACATCTTCTTCTCATTCAGGTGCAATATCTCATATAACTCCTTCCTCTCATTCAGGTGCAATATCTCATATAACTCCTTCCTCTCATTCAGGTGCAATATCTCATTGACAAAGGTGCTCATATTGAGCATGTTGATCACAACGGCATGCGGCCTTTGGACAGAGCCATCGGCTGTCGCAACACCGCCGTCATTGTCTGCTTCCTCAGGAAAGGTGCTAAACTAGGTAAGGAGGATGCCCCTAGCATGTACAGATTTATCAACACTAAATATACAATCTAGCTCCATGTCTGGCCAGTGAATGGTTTGTATCAACTCGTACAATATCTGTCCGCTACAGTTATTGTGGTGTCATAATGGTTAGGCTTTTATGGTTTGTTTACAGGCCTTTTGGCCCAAAATTCAATGAAGGTAGTCGGGGAGATACAATATGTTTTAAACTTCATTATTTAAGTCAGTTAGTTTAAAAAACCAACTATTACAAAATAAACAACTCAATAATTATGTTTTCAATATGACAGTTGATACTGATCATTTGGGAGATATCCTTATTACTTAGGGCAAAAGGATAATTGTAGCACAAATATAATTAACCAAAACATATGTTAGTTGTGTTACATTTTATGTCATGTTTTGGTAACAGAAGGAACATAATTATGAGCAGATGATCTTTCATTTACTAAAAAACGATCTGACTACTTCAGGTCCCGAGACCTGGGCAATGGCTTCTGGGAAGACCGATGTGCTGCTGCTGCTCCTGAACAAACTGATGGAAGATGGGAACATCCTCTACAAGGTGGGGACACTCAGGGAATCAGGGCTGAATAGGTTTCCAGTGCTCAATGTCTGTCTCCTTGGGGAGTAACAAGGGAAGAATGGTCTCCCAGCACCCCATGCTTGTCTCCAAGTACCCCAAGCTTGTCTCCCAATACCCCATGCTTGTCTCTCTCAGTACCCCATGCTTGTCTCCCAGTAGCACATGCTTGTCTCCCAGTACCCCATGCTTGTCTCCCAGTAACCCATGCTTGTCTCCCAGTACCCCATGCTTGTCTCCCAGTACCCCATGCTTGTCTCCCAGTACCCCATGCTTGTCTCCCAGTAACCCATGCTTGTCTCCCAGTACCACATGCTTGTCTCCCTGTGAGGATTCCAAGACAGAGTGGGTCCCCAGTACCCCATGCTTGTCTCCCAGTACCCCATGCTTGTCTCCCAGTACCCCATGCTTGTCTCCCAGTACCCCATGCTTGTCTCCCAGTAACCCATGCTTGTCTCCCAGTACCACATGCTTGTCTCCCTGTGAGGATTCCAAGTCAGAGTGGGTCCCCAGTACCCCATGCTTGTCTCCCAGTACCCCATGCTTGTCTCCCAGTACCCCATGCTTGTCTCTCTCAGTACCCCATGCTTGTCTCCCAGTACTACATGCTTGTCTCCCTGTGAGGATTCCAAGTCAGAGTGGGTCCCCAGTACCCCATGCTTGTCTCCCAGTACCCCATGCTTGTCTCCCAGTTGGGATTCCGTGGCAGACTAGGTCCCCAGTACCCATGCTTGTCTCCCTATGGCTTATTATCCAACTAGACTCTACTTGGTTGAGTGAGTGTCCATTAGCATCAACTGGTGTTTGAGATGTGAGCCTCTGGTTTGTCAATTGCTGACTCAAATATTCACAGCCTGATGGGATATGCTGGAATATGCAGCAGTAGTAACGACTGATATTTCTCAACACTAACCCAAGTAATGAAACACGCAAATGTACTCCAGGACCAGTCTCTTGAGAACTCCTTACCATCAATACACAATACATCATTGGTCCGATATATGACCTTCCACATGACATCAGATCTGAGAGTGTTTATCTGGTCAGCATTAATGTAATTGGTAGAGCTTTCCGTGTCGTTATGTATCATATTATGCAATTAATATCACATTATACTGAACAACATTATTACAGAAAAATCGAATCAAGGAAGCTGCTCAGCGGTACCAGTACGCTCTGAAGAAATTCCCTCGGGAGGGTCTCGGAGAAGAGGCTCGAACTTTCAAGGATCTGAAACTGAACTTTCTCCTCAATCTCTCACGCAGCAAGAGGAAGATGAATGTAAGTTTGAGACCAACAATCCATTTTTTAAGATGTTGTGTCAGGAAGCTTTATTTAAAGGAAACAGGTTGCACAGTGTAATCCCACACCACATCTCCCGGCCCAGACCAATCTTGCAAGTAGTGTTGTGGCCCTCTGTGAGGGATGCAGGAGAGATGGGTTTGTGCATGGGGGAGTTGGGTAATTGATCCGTTGGCAGGAAGTACACTACAGGATAACAGCCACAAGACTGCAGTCTGGAGATTCAGAATATATAGGAATCAATTGCAAGTTCTTCCATGGAATTTGATTGGCTAACGAAGCAATTAATTTGGTGGTTGTTTCCATAAACCTGAAAAAGATATGCCACACTCACTAATGGACTACTGTTTCCTGATTGGCTGATAGCAGAATAAGCAGGGCTATTGTTGTTGCCTTATTGGGCTGATCGATACCACTGATTTTGTATTGATTTCTGTGAAGTTATTATTTTGTAGCTATTGATGTACACGGATTTGCACAGTGCACCGTTTTTTATGTTTATACCTCCATGAGTGATTTTTTTCTATTAAAATCAATTCTTAAGAAAAGTTCATCAAAATATCATGAAACTGCTCGTTACGAAAACATGAAACTTTCATGGGTAATTATTTCATTATTGTTTGTTTTGTATGCTTCAAACTTTTACATGCCTATCAAAGACCAGAATGCATTTTTGCCCTGCTGAAGTAACTGTTGTATACGTTGTGTATTGTGTTTTTGTGCAGGACTTCACCTCAGCCATTGATCTTGCCACTAAAGCTCTGGATCTGAAGTCCAAGTGTTTTGAGGCATACTACGCACGGGCCAGGGCAAAGCGGGATGATCGGTAAGTGAGGAGGTTGTAAGCTCTCCATCAAAATAATTCAACCCTAAGTGGTGTATGGCTGGTAATGGATGTCGTGTCACAGACATACTAGTTGTGTACTCAAACTTGTTTGGACTTTCATTTTGAAACAGTTTTGATGAAGAAACAGAAGTGATTTTTAGATTCTATTTTTGTCTGCTGTCTTTCACACCCATCTTGTTTAATGTTTCAGGCAATATGCATCTGCTCAGCAAGACTTGATGGAAGCTCTGCGTCTGTCACCAAACAACCGGGAGCTGCGCCGTCTGCTGATGAGGGTCAAGGATGAATGTAAGGAGCAGGCGAGGTTCGATGGAGGCCAGCTCCCTGTGGGTGAGATGGACCGAATATCGGAGGACGAGGACGACACAATATCTGTGACAGACAGACAGCCAGAGGAGACAGCTTTATGATAGATGCTGAGGCATCACAGCGGCAGAACTGTGATGTAGACAATGAGTCACAACATTCATGACAGATAGATGATGACATGTCATTGTTGAAATGTCGTGGTGATGACAGATAGACAGGATGTCACAGGCGATGACATGTTGTTGTTGAAGTGTCGTGGTGACAGATAGACATGGATGTGTCACAGGGGATGACACATTGTTGAAGTGTCGTGGTGACGGATAGACATGGATGTGTCACTGGCGATGACACATTGTTGAAGTGTCGTGGTGACGGATAGACATGGATGTGTCACTGGCGATGACACATTGTTGAAGTGTTGTGACGGATAGACATGGATGTGTCACTGGCGATGACACATTGTTGAAGTGTCGTGGTGACAGATAGACATGGATGTGTCACTGGCGATGACACATTGTTGAAGTGTCGTGGTGACGGATAGACTCAGTTCAAAGTGTTCATCCCCGTCATGACACTGTCATGATTGGTAGACATGACAGTGAGTGTCATGGCATAGTCACAGTGATAAGAATGGGATGAATGGAAGACACTGATGCATCACATTCCTTGGAGGAAGAACTAGGTTCAGGAATGTGAGGAAAGCGACTGGTACAAGACATTTATGTGCCAAGTGTCTGCAGGATTAAACAAGAATTTTCTGATCTACATTGGTGTTTCGCAATATCTTCTTGCCTGGAAGAGTTTATATTTAAAAAAAAAAAATGAGTGGATCATTGTCAGTGAGTACAGACAATCTCAATATCATTTGTGACAAGTATAGTGTGAACAGTTTGATAATTGGCTGTTTGAGCTGAAGACTGCAAAGGTGTCCTTTATTGGAGCAGAAGGCCTTGAAATGTGTGTGGTCCTCTAACTTCCTGTTCCTGTGTAGATGAAAGAGAGGCTGCTAAGTGTCTCCTGACAACTGATCACAGTGAGATGTTTAACCAAAGAACACTGACAAGGAACTGTTAGTGTCAGAGAATCTGAATCAAACTGAAAGAGAAACAAGCTGAAATATACTGATGATTTATCGGATATAAATAGCATGCAGACTTTGAACTATGTGTTCAATTTCAACTCTCATCCTAGAGAATCACGAGCTGCAATCTCTGCCTATCTAGAAGATCATACTTACTCAAATGGCTCTAGGAGCAAGCTTTGTTTTTTAGACATGTTTGATGAAATATAATTTTGTTCTGTTGTTTCATTTCATCATTGTCCAAGAAAGCCTGAGACAATTCAGTTGTTGTCATGAATTGATGCGATGAATACAAGGATTTGATGTGTTCAATTGATGAGTGTTGATGCTGCTGGGAAACAGTGGTTTTTGCAGCAGCAGAATAGAGCATGAGACTCAATGTGCAATCAGTGCATGGATGATGTGCGACACTTATTTTTGTACTGTTATTTGATGCCTGGATCCGAGGGAGTGTGACCAGGAGAGCTGTGAGGTTTCTTCACAAAGTCACGTTCTGTGAGGCTTCTGCAATAGTCATGCTTTCCTTTGTAAGGGGGAGCATCCTTCTCAATACTGTAACTACATGTACACAAGAAATTATTGAACATCACCAACGTTTCAAAATGTGGTTTGCTGATAATGGATATGTTATCTATTCAAGTCTGTTTTCCATTGTAGCAGTTTGACATAATATTTCTCTGTCTGTATGGATTCATTAGCTTCTGTGTTTCAACACGCATCCTCGTATACTCATCTCTGTTGAAGACATGGGACTTTGTGGATAGCAACTTGTTATCTATAAGTGTCAGTGTTCTTCCAGCTTTGAAATGTCAATCACAGACTTCAGCTCAGACGTTCAAAGATGCTGCATTTATTGTTCCTGTAAACTCATCACAATCCCATTCGTTATATGGACAGGTCTGGAAGGAATCCATATTGGAATATACTGAGCAAAGAAAGTTTTGTTGTCAAGTCTGAGCATGCAATTTCATAAAAAATATCCCCCAAAATATTCATGATCCCAACTTTTTTTGTTCAGTATAGTTTTGGTCACATGACTATGACATGACCGGACAGCCATCAGTCGTGTCCTGATGTGAATGATAATGATATGTTCTATTTGCTTAAATTACAAAATCAGCTTGCAAATAATTTCTGTTATTGATACAATAAGATGTTTTCAAAACTGTTATGTTATGCAAACTTTATGCGGTTTGATATGGCTGCACACGTTACAGTGAAATCATTTAATACCACTGCTCCGGTTCAACCCAAAGGATTATGCATGATGTGGGAACATTGCAGTGGGCCCGAGTGTTATACGGTCATGTGTCAAGGGAGATAACTCCACATGGCATATCTAACTGACCACCATAATACCATGTGATTGTGTCCAGTCTTCCATTCCATCAACAGAAGAGACACATGCCATTGAGCACATTGCAAATTTGCTACTTACAGTCGACAGGATTTTTCAAAATCAATTTTGTTGTAAATAACCCATGAAACAAACTTCACAGTTAAATCTGAAAAATAATAAATATTGAAATCAATGAGTTTCCTCTCCAGCCATTTAAAAAAAGAATAAATATTGCGAATTTTTTTAAATTTTATTTTTTCACAATTAAAATTCTGAATTATCTTGAAATCAATTTGCTTCTAGGCTGGGTTGCTTGAGATTTAAATTGATGATGTTATTTGTGAAACTGTTCATTCGTATGGGAATGAGAAAAGTGCTCTTTATTTAAATTTATGGTGCTTTCAAACAATGTGGGTTGTGCTTCTCTTCATTTCACAATCAGGATACTGAGTGCTTTTCAATAATTTTGTATCTCCATTGTTATGTGTAAATACCAAGTCAGCAGTAACAGAGTGTTGATATAGATAGTATTTAAGTTGTTTATTTATGTGAAATACAATCGGTATGTAAAGGTGTTGCTATCAGTATACCGAACTAACTATGCATTCGATGGAGTGGAGACTCACGCCAGCCTGGGATTGACATGTAGATAATTAATTATAGAAATTATAAGTGAACATGGTGAAGTGGTATATTCAATCAATCAATCATTTATTAATATGTTTGAAATAATTTAACTTTTATAGGAAACAAGTAAATGAAAAATTAAAGTTATATATATTGTTCTGTAAGGGTTGAAATTACCATTGTTTAACTTATTCAAATCATACAACTTGTTTCTTTTGTGTGTAGAGTTGTGTCAAAAGTGAAAAAAGATTCAATTAAAAAAATAAGTGAAGTTTAGTATCCCCAAACTCCTGATACATTTATTGCCAGTTTAATTTTTTTTTTAAATTATAAAAAATATTCAGGAAGATGTGAAGGAATTTCCTATTCATCCTCGGCTGTGGCAGTGTTGTCCAAAACTCTGTGTAGTTGTAAGTTACTGAGAATACTAATTTGACTTTGATGTAATCATGGTAACTGCCATATTTTGTACAGTGTACAGTCCTTTATAAGGCTCATGTACAGTTGTGTACAGCAACATTACAGAACCTACTTGTACATCTAGATTATTATTTTTTCTTCCCTAAGGTTTGATATTCAATCTGATGTGCAAGACCTATTGAGAATATTTTGTGGTCATAGTTCCTGCTTGGTGCGTTGATGCAAGTTCATTACAGTGTTTGTGGTTAATTGTTATGTCATACAAGAACAGAAAGTGATATGATCCTCTGTGAGATGAATTAAGCTGTCTCTGAAGACGGATGGTCATGCTCGGAAGGATGGATGGAAAGAGGAGTCCTTGCATGTCGGTGTGAGGAACAGAGGAACAGTTCTCTCATTCTGTTCAAACTGGTTTGAAATTGAAATTCTGAAGTTCTGTAGTACATTACTGTCTGGCATATTGGCATAGTGAGCATATTCATGCTATGCTCAGTTCCCAAGGTCATCCAATGACCTGTAGTTTGAATATTTTGTAGACATGTCCTCTTCTCCCGAGATCCTCTGCCCCAGAGGTGGTGACCTTGTGTTATGAGTCTCACGGAGCCTGTTAAGTTTCTAATACTAAATTATTTGCAATGTGTGTTAGTATTGAAGGTGTAGTATCATGTACAGAAACAGATCAGGGCTTTCAATGTAGATCTGACAGTGGTCTGTACACTATCATTCCTCGTTTCTGTATCCTGCCAAACATAAATAAATCAGTGCAAACATACACAGTCTTCCTTGTTGATGTCTTCAGTGAGTGAGTTGTCATGATCGATGTCATAGGAGAGCTTTTAACAATATTCCAGTTATATCACTGCGTGTCCGTTTAATGTGGGAGAAAAGCCCGCAGTGATGCAGATCTCAGACGTTTACCACTTCGGTGAAACCTACGAGCACGGGTATGGTGCTGACAAACCTAGAACATAATCAGGGCGAACTAGGATTTGAACCCACAATCATAGGTTTCTGGTGTGCCCAAGGGATGCAACTCTGCACAGCGAATCGCGGTGCCTTGATGCCTTCAGACCTGAGAGTAGATGATGCCTTTTAGAAAGCAGTCATATGAAACATGTGTTATGTCTAGGATTACACATTCTCAGTGAAGTACAAATTCTGGTGGGTCCCATGCTCGCAGAGAAAAAAAGCACCTGATCACCAGCAAGAAAGCCAAAAATAAAAGTCCTGACAATTTACCGTATTTTCTCGAGTAAAGTGTGCACTTTTTCTCTCCAAAAAACACAGCTGTGTAGAAGGGGGTGCGCATTATTCATGAATTATTGAGTTTTGATGTTTTTTCCCCCATGGAAAGACATTACCGTGAGCACGTAACACGCTGAAGGGGTACGGTGTTGTTGATTTCTGCGCATAATATTCAAATTTCTTTTTTTCCAAAATATTGAACCCGCTAGAGGGGGTGCTCATTATACATGGGTGCACACTATACTCAAGAAAATACAGTAGGCTACCAGTACCAAGTTGTGGACTTCCATTTGTCTCTCCAGACTAGTACAAGCAGATATGCACATTCACAGAAGGTTTCCTGGGCACAATATCTGATACAGTGAAACCACTATAACCCGGACACAGTACCGATATTTGTGAAATTATCCAGATCAATAAATTGTGTCACGGCAACAACACAACAACAGGAGAGCCTCAACAAGAAAAGTAAGTTTATTGTCCTGAACCTGTTACACTCTCTACACATGATGGTCCCTCAACAGTAGGACAGCAACTTGAGCATACTCACACCTGGCCCACATGCACAAAGCTATCTTAGCACTAGGAGTACCATACAGTATTTCAGTTATATCACGTCCGAGGAATACACCAAAGTGAAGCATGCTGTACACACTTCAGTGAAACCCATGATTGGATATGGTGCTGACACACAATGAAGTCAATCTGATTTGAATTTACCATATGTGGATCCTGGCATATCAAAGGGGTGCAACTCTTTACAACAAATAGAAGCTCCTTGCACCGCTCCTTTAACTTGCACTTGTCATAGCCCAATAATGGCATTTTGCAGTGGGCCTGCTCTCTTTATAAGTGCAAACCCATACCTTTGATAACCTTTTCACAATTCACATGCATACAACTGGGACGACCAGCTTCCACAAATCCATGGAATTTTGTGGGTACAAAATCCAGCATGGTTTTGTCCATGGTCGAGTAACACCTGCCTTCAGGAGACATTTCTCCACTGTCATCCATGATAAAAGTTTGTGCAGGTTCTTCATCCTTGAAGTAGTTATGATACAATAAATAGAGGTCAATATGATAAAATTAATATGAGCATTTTTCAAACACCTGATCCATATTTTTCTCTTCGCGCAAAAATATATGTTTAAAATATAAATTTGGACATGCATATACCGTTCACATGATAAACACTTATGAAATTACATTTTCATTGCACGAGACATGCCACATGAAATCACAAGTACTTGTAATAAAAATAGCTTCCTTAAATACAAAGTTACTCGGAAAGAATTATTGTAATACCTAAATACCAACATTATTCATGAATGAAGTCTTAGATAGGCATTTAGAAGTTGGGAAGACATGAAACCTTTATGGATAACTTGTTTACTTGAAGCAATGTTCCATCCTACTTCTTGGCAATTCAGCCGAGGCCACCTGTCGTCTTGTGGTAGAGCGTCCGCCCAGTGAGCGGAATGTCTTGGGTTCGATCCCCTGCCGTGTCATACCAAAGGACACTAAAAGATGGTACTTGTTGTTTCCCTGCCTGGCGCTCAGGATTAAGGGGATAAAACGAGGACTGGGCAGCTTGGAGTCAGTATGCTGTGTCTGAGTGGGGTAATACTATGGCATGGTATATCAGTGGGCTAGCACTAAAAAATTGTCATTAGACACAGGCAAGTGTATGCATGTCGCTATGTACGTCGAATAATCTTGGATGCGACGCTAAACCCCATTTCACTTCACCCTTCATTGGATAAATAAGAAATTACAAATAATAGAGAAGTTGTTCATTCACCTTGCAGAATGAAGGAGCAAAAATTAGCCCTGAGATATTGTTACAAATATACAGAAGTCGTTCATTTACATGATGAAGAGGCAAAAATGGTACTCATGAAATGCAGTTACAAATATGATGATGACGGAGGCGGGAACAAGCCCTGAAATGTCATTACAAATAACAAAGAAGTTGTTAGCCATGAAGGCTTCATGTCTTCATTATTCCTAAATGTTAACAACTAAAACTGGAACATATTTGGGCCAGAAAGACTCCTGTAACTTCATTCTCCGAGTGTCGTCAGTATTTCATCACAAAACAGATGCTTTACCAACAGGATTCACATCCAGCTCATCCAAAACAAACTGTCATTAAAACAAACAATTTGAGATAACATTAGATGTAAAAACCGTTGTACCTAAACTTAAATCACTGATCGATCAATCATTCACATTTTGATACAATTTGTGAGTAGATTATGTTCATGCTGCTTCAGAGAGGAATTAAGTTACTTCCCGCCATGTGAGGTTAGTCTCGGGGGGGGGGGGGGGGGACAAAGAGACGTTGGAATACATTAACCACTTTCATGAAACCACCAACATTATAGGGTACAGACAGACCCAGGTTCTATATCTGGGTTTTGAACCACAATAATGTTGGTTTGGAGACACTTTGCAACTTGTGGTGCCTAAGAAAACTTGTCCACCTGCGGACCTTGATGTTCCCTTTGATATTCTACTCAAAAGAAGTTAAGGAACACCCAAATCGGGGCTTCTTTAACTTCTTTTGTTTGTTTGTTTGTTGTTTAACGCCACGTTCCGTAAATAATCGAGTCTGGACCAGACAATCCAGTGGTTGATATCATGAGCATCAATCCAAGCAATTGGGATCAATGACATGCATCAACCAAGTCAGCGAGCCTGACCACCCGATCCCAATAGTCACCTCTTTCGACAAGCATAGTCGCCTTTTACGGCAAGTATGGGTTGCTGTTTGAGTAATATAAATTCCCTTCTTCGTATCCACCTTAGGGAGACTGAATGTACAGGACATGAGAAGGTACAGGAAATGAGCAGTATTATCCTGGGTCCCGTTCCACAAAGCAATCTTATCGCTATGACTATCATAAGCCTATATTAAAGTATGGGAGTGACAATAATCTTAGCGCTAAGATCACTTTGTGGAACGGACCCTGAAGCTGTTTATTGCACACTTACTTCATCAACCTGCCCTACCCGACAGTCAGTGAGTTACGAGAACACAATAAATCATTATGATGATGTGGAGGTGTATTATGCAAACCTGATGCAAAATTTCTAAATTCAACGTGATAAAACAAGGTTTACTCTGAGCAAATTTTAAATTGCAAATATATATTTGATTTAATACACATAATAATTCACATATTTTATTTGCAAAAACTACTGTTTTCTACGGACTAATGTGACTTTAATAGCCTATTCCAGCAAAAGATAGAACTTGGCAAGCTAGCTTGATGTTCAAAACCAAAGCGTAGATCAACAAAAATACATGTGTTATCTAAATACTGGTTAAATATCACTAGAAAAACACATTTACTAACCTAATTTGTATAAACATGCAAGATTCAGGCAGCAGCAAGACATGCAGAACTCCTACAAGAAGCAAGGTGTATTTCAGAGGTTACTGCATAAAGAAAAATAACACTACATTTCAATTCATCAACTGAAATTACACTTATTGCCAGACTTTCAGTCTGCCTAAATATCACTACCGGGGTATATAGTTTTTCCTTGCCAAATAAGATGTCTATCTCACCCCATGACCCGACGAAGTGACCTGCATGTGTTGCTTCACAACTCATGAAAATATCAAGTTTGTCAGGTCACTCGAGAAAAAATGTCAAAATTCCAAAATTTGAAAATGTTGCTGGCGCCCTGAAGACCTCATTCATTCATAACCCGGATATAGTTTGACTGAACAATATGACCATAGCCCTACCAACACCAAGTTAGGCCTTTTATTCCTTTGGTTGGTTTACAAGACAAAACAACCCTGAAATTAAAAATAAAATGACTTTTGACCTAAATTTTTTCTGCCTAACTGTTTTACAATTTGGTGTAATGAAACAAAAAAACACACCAGATTTTATCACCGCTGTTTGTAAGAAATTGTGAATAATTTGTGTAAAAATTAAATTCTACAAAATACAACAATCAATTATCTTTTGTTTGTTTTGCATTCACTAGCAGCAGTACTAATCATACAAATCAGGAAGTTGAAAATTAAGTTTGATTTTATTTTTAAACCAGGTCAATTTTTACCAACCAGCCAATAAAAAATAAAAGACCTAACGATACCGGTCCTCCATACACACATCATTAAGCAAAGTTATTGAGGCTACACTAATTCCTCAACCCACTACCAACCATAACCATTTTCTGCTTAGTTAGCATATTTTTGTAAAGGTAGTAGCCTAACTTGCCTTGTTAATTCTATTATGTTTCTAGGTTTGTCAGCACCATACCTGTGCTCGTGGGTTTCACCGAAGTGGTAAACGTCTTAGACCTGCATCACTTCGGGCTTTCCTCCCACATTAAGCTGACACGCCGTGATATAACTGGAATACTGATATAACTGGAATACTGTTAAAAGCGGCGTTAAACCCAACTCACTCACTCACTCACAAGGTTCCTCACACAGTCTATGGAATAGTAAGTGCATGTTGTTTGATGCCACAGGCAGCAACATTACAGCTGCTGCTATCATCATCACAAAGACCTAGACATGAAATCTTTACCGAGCCTGACATTTCTTACGAGTATTTAGCTGAAGAGTATTACATAATGTCAACCACTTTGGTTTTTATCAGATCTTTCCATTGCAAGATATTCATCCTAACAAGCAATGTACTTCATGTGGAGGATTTCCGATTCACAATTCTACGATACAGAAGCCAACTTCTCATCAATAACATACTGTGAAGTATTGACGAAGTTACAGACATACAATCACATACACATCACACACATGGAAACATTACACACCACCACAGCTACATACACACTATATTGCTGAAACAATGCTGATGTCTCACACCACAACACAGACATTATTATTAATTATTAAGTATTTACTTAGCACCTGATCATAAAATGGCAACATTCTTAAGTGAGAAATAAAACAGAAAACCTGTTGATCATGGCTACACACACCCGTGATTATCCAAAGCACTACATCTCCCAATCTCATTAAAATCAGATCTTAGTTCTCGCAGCCACTTAACAAAGATCTGACGACATCCCATAATGGGTTACATCAGAACGACCTTTCATCAGACCAATCAAAGCGTCGCTTACCAGATCATGAAAGTGACAGTCAGAATGTGTTTTCTCATCATGCAACCTCGAAAACATTAACACGGGGTATTTCGAAAGACAGTTACAGCCCGTAAAACGGATTCCATCAAACTTATCGTCTATCTTGCTACCGTGCGATAAACATTTGAACGGAGGAGGCGTTGTGGGAAGCACTGCCAATGATCTAAACCATATATTGGACATTTCGGAATGTTTGTTTGTTCAGTTTTCAAAATTTTAATCGAGAACTGTGTCAACATATTTTTCAAGCGTAGTCTAAAATGGAAGTTGCCAGGTTGAAACAGGTGGCGTAAAGCTTGAGAAAGCTGCTTTCTAATTGGCTGATGTCGACTTCTTGGTAGTCATTTCATGGGTCGGTCAAAGTTCGCGAAAGGTCGTTCTGACGTGACCCATAATGGGATGTCCTCAATCTTTGTTTAGCGGCAGCGAGAACCTAAATCTGACTTAAAGAGATTGTACATCTTTATTCTATTATGATAAAGATGCTGGACCCTTTAGTACTGTTTTGAGCCGAATTCAAATGGTACAATGCCAAAATCAGCCACCCAATGAAATAACTCGCGTGAGGGAGAGGCATTCTGTATCATGATACTGTTGTTTAATGTTGCACTCAGCAATATTCCAGTTATAAGACGATAGTCTGTAAATAATCGGGGCTGGACCAAGCGATCCAGTGATTGATATCATGAGCATCTATCCATGCAATTGGGATACAACATGCATCAACCAAGTCAGCAAGCCTGACCACATGATCCCGCAAGTAGCATCTTACTACAAGCATAATCACTTTATACAGCAAGCATGGGTTGGTAAAGGCCTATTCTACCCGAATCTCCTTGGGGGGTGTTACTGATACAAATTGATGTCACTTCCAAAATGAAACAATAACATCGAATGGTCTTGAACGTAATAAAATGTAGTACTTTGGATAATGGAGGATGGACCACACACTCACACACACACACGTGCACACACGCCAAACGCATGCACACAGGCACAGGCACGCACACGCACATGCACACACACACGCACGCAGACACTGCCGAACTGGGGCCTTGTCTCCAAGTATTTGGGGCTATCATTTATTTACTCTAGTATCAGTTTTGGATGCAAAATGAAATGCACGGAGACAAAACTCAAGAAACCAGAGTCACATTAATTGAAAAACAATCTCATTAAAATCCAGTAAGGGAATGTCCTCAGATCTTTGTTTAGTAGTAGCAAGAACTAAGATCTGATTTTAATGAGATTTGATGGAAAAACATAAAAACATAAAAAATGTTTTGCATTTTCGGACAAAAATATGGGTTGTCAATCACTGGATTCAAACAAGGACTACCACTATCCCCAGCAAGTCCCTCTGTAAGTTATTTGGATAAAAGCAAACTCTGATATTGGATGACTTATGTTAATGTCAACATGCAATGGTAGCATCCATTCCACATGGTTCTCTAGTATCTAAAACCATCAACACATCAACACAAATACATAGTGTAACATGAGCAGACCTAAAGGTGTGCGGACAACGCTGAATAGGCCAAACACCCTCACATTCCCAGTACACAACAGTATTGTGAGTGAACACTGCTAATGCTGAATGATAATGATGTATCAGCAATTTTATCTATCTTTTTGCAGTACACTGACAGAGTCCTCTCACACTGACTCTCACGTAGAGTTGGTGATGTATCATACCGATTCATTTAATGACATGAAGCAATGTAGTATCACAATGTAGTATTTTTGTTTGGTTTTTTTGTTTGTTGTTTAATGCCACACTCAGCAATATTCAAGCTGTATGACGGCGATCTGTAAATAATCGCGTCTGGGCCAGACAATCAAGTGATTGATATCATGCGCATCGATCCACGTAATTTGGATACGATGACATGCATCAACCAAGTCAGCGAGCCTGACCACCTGATCCGTTAGTCACCTGGTACGACAAGCATAGTCGCCTTTTACGGCAAGCATGGGTTGCTGAAGACCTTTTCTACCCCGGGACAATGTAGTATGATCATAAATATAAGTTGATCTGTGATATCGCATTCCACAGTCTAGGCCCCATTCAAAAATCTCTGTGAATAGCTGCAAGACAGAGTGGGGTGTAGTGAGGGTCCTGATCATGGGTCAAGAGGCTCTGCCGATGATCATTCATCATTTAATGAGACACAATGATTCATTGATTATTCAGCTTGTTATATGGTCTTTCTATCATGATAAACACCCTAGACCCACATGACTCCATAGTTTCATTTAGGAAGTCACATCATCGTTTCTCTCTGTTTCTCTTATATCTTAACATAGTGCAGGCTTTCTCTCACTTATGTCAGTAATTAAGACTCTGGATATTCAAGGATAGCTACCCTTAAGATAGAATTTTTTAGACAGGTAAAAATCATTAAAAACTTACGTAGCAAAACGAGCCACCTAAATTTGGGAAGTTCAAAGTTGAAGTAGCGTGTAAGTTTTTCTCGATCAAATTTGTGACACAAAATAATTTGACTGCAGTTTTTGTCACATGGTGATTTGTAGAGCGAATAATTTCTGCAGTAAATGAGACAAAATGGCCTAACCTGCTGGTACTATTGCACAGTGTCATTACCCGGGAACCACGAATCTATCCAGCAAAAGTGTTCAATAAGTCGATTATGCTGTATTCGTTGCGCTGGGTGATAAACACTTCAATGAACATGGTGAGGAAGGTTACAGTAAGCACACATTATAATCAAGTACTGATACCATACACTGCAAACATAATCGTCATACAACGCATGAAGAAGTTACTTTTTGTTCATCAATAACATTGTTCACAGGTTTACTGTGTAAACCAAACCATAAAGTGATTTCTTAAACAAAGATTCATAATTCAATAACACAGCCAAGAGAAATGATTTGCACTAAACTAATAACAAAGGGGTAAAAGCTTTCAAATTACCTCCCCTTTGACTGACTGTTCCAAGCTCCTTCCCAGCGTGTGACACCTTCGTCACACTCTCAATAACATGGCTGACACCAGTGTGGGCGCAACCATTACAAGTCTTGAAATCGGCCCTCTAACACCAAATGTAGTAACGTTTATATTTTTGTTTATGTTTTGAGGAATGCCATCATTGTGAATTTTGAAAAGGTTTTCGACTCACAGGATTTTCCAGATGAATTTACTTTTTTGCTAGTTTAATCGTATGGTTCGAGATTGCAGACTATCAGAAAATCGCTTAACTTCCCCGTTACATTCTTACTATACCAATTACATAATAGTTGGAATGAAATAGAAATTCAAATTGACAAACATAGAAAATAATTAAGCTGGAGTAAGAGTATTCAACGTCACGGCAGTCATCGCTAGTTTGTAAACATAACGGTCAGTCGGTTGCAAGTTCATCTCCAAGCATGGCTGTGGTCACCTATGACAGTGGGGAGTTTTGACTGGTGGCAGCGATAGTATAGAGAGCACCGCGAATGGGCTATCTCTGTGAGGAACTTGCAACTATAACTCAAGACTATTCCGATTAGCTGACTCGAACCATGTGAAGTTCGTGGCAAGCACTCCTTTCTTTTAGTCCAAATCTTGAAACATATTTACATGCATTGTTCTTGTGGCTCCAGAAAATTCTGAATCCTAAATGATAGAGTGATTTAAAAAGATTGAGCGCCTTGATGTATCTCTCCTTGGTGGGTTCCTTGTCTATGAGTTGAGGGTTGAACACAGAACATGTCTCGCAGGCATGGAGCTCTATGAGGAACTGTTTCACGTCCGACAGTGACTGTGTGGACAGTATCTCCGGGAGCACCTGCCATTCCCATTCTTCTATATCCATCTTTAGAATGGCCAGTGGCCTCTGGAATGAAGGAGTGGTGGATTAACAAGTGAACACTGTTGTATGCTCCAAAAAGCACACCCTGACAAACTTTAAACTGATTTGTTGAGGAGTGGGCAATTAATTTCCATGTTGTTTGTTTGTTGTTTAACTCTGCACTAAGCAATATTCCAGCTATATGACGGGAGGTCTGTAAATAATCAATTCTGGACCAGACAATCCAATGATTGAAAACATGAGCATCCATCTACGCAATTGGGATATGATGACATGCATCAACCAAGTCAGCGAGCCTGACCACCCGATCCTGTTTGTCAAATCTTACAACAAGCATAGTCGCCTTTTACGACAAGCATGGGTTGCTGATGACCTATTCCACCCCAGATCTTCACGGGTTTACTTTCCATGTAGCCCGCTCATATACCCAGCTGAGAAATCAATCGGAACACACCTTAGGTAACTTGCTTACCTCCCATAAGTATCGTTTGAATGAAATGAACCGATGTTCATCCAAATGCATTGGGTAAAGGGAAGTAACTCTTCGTTTGCGTCATCTGCTAGCTGCTAAAACGGCTGAATCAAAATGTTTTACTCAGTGACACTTTGGACATCTATTCCGGGCATCTATTCCAGGTCTGTAGGAATGTCAGCGAGATAAATTTGTTGTCAACCGATACCTCAGGGTACATAGGCTCACACACAGGGTACATGACACCATATACCCCTCGAGATCAGTTCTCAATTTATAGTAAGTAATCTTTATAGGTGCCCCTACAAAGACTGAAAATGTACAGGACAGTCCATATTTTGTTAGTTAGCTATGGAGAGGGCACGGGTGAACCGGTCTCCTAGTTGCAGACTAGAATCCCTTAGGCATGCCAGAATCCTATGATTGTGAGTTCCAATCCTATTTCGCCCTGATAATGTTTCTCGGTTTGTCAGCACAACCTGTGTTCTAAGACAAGTCTCACTTCAGGATTTCTTCCCACACCAAGCTTATAAACCGTGATATAATGAAATACAGTTCAAAGCGGCTTTTAAACCAAACTCACACACTCACTCACTCAAACTCCAGGTTTCTCACCTCCTGATGACCCAGCTCATGTTTAATGGACTCCAGCGTCCCCACCTTCCACCCACTGTTCGTCTCCCCATTGAAATCAGCAAGGCCTTTTTTGTGGAAGTGAACCGTGCTCTCTCGCTCATGGTCACTCTGCTTCATGCTGGAGAAAATTAGATTAACTTAATTTTATGACAGACAAATAATAATAATAATATGCAAATAAAATGCACTCCCTAAATCATGCTCAAAGCTCTACATTATAACCCTGGTCAGTGGATCAGTGTACTTGGTTTTCTTTCTCAGCTCCCTGGAGAGTATACAACCCAAGCTGCCCATGAGACAGAAAATATATACCATATAATTTCTCTATTTTGTCAGTCGTGATGCAGATAATATAAACTTACCTCGGGTCAAAGGAGTGCACCTCACACTTGTAGTTGCGAGCTGCGGCATCATCGAAGCTGAAGTCATCTCCAACACTGCGACAACATCAACATCATCGTGCAGTGGTTAAAAGAGGGATTTTACCATGAACTTGGAAATTACTCAGTCAGATTTGTTTGTTTGTTATTTAACGCCGCACTCAGCTATATGCCAGCTATAGGACAGCGGTCTGTAAATAATCAAGTCTGGACCAGACAATCCAGTGATTGACATCATGAGCATCGATCCATGCATATGGGATCGATGACATGCATCAACCAAGTCAGTGAGCCTGACCACCCGATCCCATTGGTTGGCTCTTACTCAGTCGGAGGTTATCAAAACACAATACCCCCCCTCTCCACTCTGATTGAAACAGACGATTTGACATCACAACAGCTAATATTTATAGAATGGTACTTCTTTGCAGTCTTTGTCGATAGATATTGTAAAATAATTATATGTACAAATGTATAGAAAATTGAGGTTTATGGTAACTACAATATTCAAAGGATGAGTAGCAAAATAATTTTGTGCAGAAAACACGACACAATAGAACACAGAAAACACAAGAGAATGTAATTCAAGTTTGGGGGACATCAGCTTGAAATTTGGTGCTTATGTATATATGACTGTGGCATCATATCTTTTGATTCCCAATGAGTGATATTACGTCATAAAGTGACATGTGGTGCAGAGTGAGTGAGTAGGTTTTTACGCCGCTTTTAGCAATATTCCAGCAATATCACGGCGGGGGACACCAGAAATGGGCTTCACACATTGTACCCATGTCGGGAATCGAACCCGGGTCTTCGGCGTGACTAGCAAACGCTTTAACCACTAGGCTACCCGACCGCCCCCATGTGGTGCAGAACTGAACCTTGCAAAGGCTTGTTTCTTAGAGGTGCCCACTTCATTTAGGTTTACGAATATGCTATGCCACATGTTTTCAATGCCTGTCATATGTTCGAGTGGAGTATTATGTGGTAAAAATGGCTTGAGCATATACAGCACCATATTTTGTTTTAATTTAAGGCTGTTGTCATTAATTTCATAATTCAGATCAACAACCACTCAAAACATTAGACTTCACTCAATATATTTGCTAACACCAAAGATTTCACGTTTTATTTAGTCAATGGTCGAATTGAGATAAACATACTGTGTTTTTACTGTGAAAACACAGTATGTTTCCCTCATAATTCTTAAATTGGTAAAATAACTCAAATTTCTCAGTTCATACCCAAATAATAACAGTTGCAACTAAAAACTAATTGTTCTCAGCAATTCCTCAAATAATGACAACCTATAGGCACACTGTTACTAATGAGAAAATCACCAGAAGGATACTTTTAACACAGGGCAAGTTGCTTCCTGTGAGCAGCGATGTTAATTCTCCCTGCTTAATCCATATACTACTACCAACAATGGTGACACCAAGTTATTGAACAAAGAACGCCACATCTATCACTTACCCAAAAGAATAAACCAGACACTTGGACTTAGGCACAAACATCTCATCCCCGCATATCTCCCAACCTCCGTCCGTGACACGACCCAAGCGGACAATGTTGTGACATTCATACTGTATCGTCATCACATAGCTGAAAAACAAATAACACAACTCGACATGTGGTTCGTAAACTGCCATGCAGATTTCGCTCGATTGCAGGATTTGCAAAGCATGTGTACCGTCAACTTAGCGCCAACAGATATTTTCCAAATCTTTTCATGTTATTAATCAAGGTGCTCACGTGATTTGATGCACCATAGCAAAGAAAAACCCATTTTATTACAATATAGATCTTGATTATCGATCAGACCGTCTTCACTGGGTGAAGTCATTTTGTTTGTTCCAAATGTAAATTATATGAGAGGTGGAATCAGATTGGTCAATAGGAGGGACATAGAAGGGACATAACTTGTAATGGCCACTGATGGCGCAACGATCAAGAACAAAAATTCCAGCTTTGTTCAGCAAGGGCGGAAACTTAACTTGTAATGGCCACTGATGGCGCAACGATCAAGAACAAAAATTCCAGCTTTGTTCAGCAAGGGCGGAAACTGAACTTGTACAGTCAGTTAACTTCTTGGGAAGATGGTCAATTCTTAATAATAAATAGATTAATTAAACAGGATAAGTGTTTGGGCGGGATGTTTCACCTACGTAAGATTGTCCACAGTTGCAGTCAATTTTGTAAACGACACCTTTAGACTCTTGGGGTTTGGTTGTGTTCCTGGCCACATCCCGCCCAATCAACACCAGAATGAAAGAGCACAAAACCTCCACCATTCAATTCGACAGTGAATCAGCCATCTCGGACCATATCAGCAACTGCCCCAATCACAACATCAACTGGGACAACGTCCAAATCCTCTCCAACAACCTCCATGATTACACTAAAAGAAAACTAACAGAAGCGGTCCCGTTCGCCGCCACAAGCCATCAATCAACAGAGATCAAGGCTATTTCATCCCATCCGCCTACTATGCACTCATCAAGAAATAATCACTCAGCCTGTTTAATTAGCTTCCGGTCCGATTGGCTTCCACCAATGTGTTCTCTGTCCATCGTGTTGTGACAGTATTATCCCTTTGTTGTCGACACCTACCTATGTTATCCCACTCATGTATACTATTGTTGTTACTGTTAATCCTCCACCTACTATATATATTCTGTACTATGTCCCTCATTCAGTCTTGCTTGACAACGGTATAAGGATCTATACCGAAACATCGCTTTTTACAGTATTAAAGAAGTTGTTATCCATAAAATTGTGTCTACCAGGTTTGTTTCTTTTGGTGGATATATGAACAACAATGTGTCCACTCTCACCTGTGATACAGCTCAGACAGGTCAGCGTAACTCAGGTTGGCAACCTTTGCTCTAGACAGACTGGTTAGCCGTTCAGTCGGGGACAGATCCTTGACATCTGGGAGATGTGAAATCTGGAAATAAACAATTCTTGTAATGAATGAGCTTCACAAAGTGTGACTAATCTGATTAAAATCAGGACCCATGAAGATTTGGGGTAGTATAGGTCTTCGGCAACCCAAGCGTGTTGCTGACAGACGAAGGGTCATAATCGGGAATAATAATTGGATCCTGGCATGGTTAAGGCAGGCAACTCTACACATTAAATAGCAATGCCTCAGGTCACTACACTACACCATCCACGTCCCCCCTACTCTGTAGAATAGGTCTTCAGCAACCCATGCTTGCCATAAAAGGCGACTATGCTTGTCGTAAGAGGCGATTAACGGGATCGGGTGGTCAGACTCGCGGACTTAGTTGATGCATGTGTGGATAGATGCTCATGTTTTCAATCACTGGATTGTCTGGTCCAAACTCAATTATTTACAGACCACCGTCATATAGCTGGAATTTTGCTGAGTTAAACAACAAACAAACAAACATTAAAATCAGATCTAAGTTCTCACTGACAACTCCTTGTTTGAAAAAAGTTGAGAGACAAATTTACACATAATGTTACACTGATGTCATATTTGCATTTCCATAACATTTTTAAACTATGGGCATGTGATTCTTATGTATAAATTAAATATTTTTACGTTTTCTTAGCAAATATACAAACATGTCACTCTCAAAGAGAATGTCAAAATAACTGAAAACATTGTCGACTTTCCTACCTTTGCCTTCTTTACACTGTCCTCTTGTCGTTGATGATGAGGCTCTGAAAATTTATGTTTATATTTTCATAACCATGATAAAACATACACATCATCAATCCCCAACGTATTCTGCGGCTTGAATTACAACATTTGGCAGTAAATTCTGCAGTAAAAACATAACCATTTCCCTCTCAACAATTAATACAAACTAATTTAATTTAACTTGAATCCAAATCCAAAACAAAATAATTCCCACAAATTGTCATTATAAACAGTTATGATTGGCGAATAAATATGCATAGTGTCACTGATACATATTTTTCGTTAGATGTAAACATAGTTTATGTACTAATACCACAAGAACATTTAAAAGTGAAAATTATTTATTTCAAATTTCGTTTCATAGCAGGATTCATATTTTGTATGTTTGAATCACATGTTAAATACTTGGGCATCATTTGAGTGCAAAAGTCCATAGACAAAAAGCTTGAAAACTAGTGTTTGGATTGATTAAAAAAGAGAGGCAAATTCATGACTTTTCTGCAATTCTGCTATGAGTTACATTTCTGCAAATCTTTCCGTGACAAATAACCCTTGTCCATTTCACATTGCCTGTTTAATGCGAGGTGATTTTTTGGGCATGTGAAACTGGAAACTTATCTTAATGAGCCTTAAACCGTGAAGATGTCGCTGACTTGGTTTATGCATATCATTGTATCCCAATTGCATAGATTGATGTTCATGACGTCAATCACTGGATTGACGGTCCAGATTCGTTTCTTTATACAGACCGGTGTCATATGTAGCTGGAATATTGCCGAGTGCGACGTTAAACAACAAACAAACAAAAATAAGCCTTAAAACACTGCTTCAGTCAGAGTAACATACCTTTCTCCATGAGATTGACGAGTGCAGGTTTATCTTCAGGCACCCACAAGCCTTTCTGTTCATGTGCCAGCATCACTCTGTCCACAGCCATGTGGTCAAATGATCGACTTTTCTGTAAAGAAAGCAGCCATTGGAGCTGATCTAAATGGAGCTATTTGGGGAGGAAAAAGTTGAAAAACACTGCTACATATTTCATCAAGTCGTCAAGAGAGGAGTGAGTGAGTGAGTGAGTATGGTTTGACGCCGCTTTTAGCAATATTCCAGCAATATCACGGCGGGGGACACCAGAAATGGGCTTCACACATTGTACCCATGTCGGGAATCGAACCCGGGTCTTCGGCGTGACGAGCGAACGCTTTAACCACTAGGCTACCCGACCGCCCCCGTCAAGAGAGGAATAGTGTAGGAACATGATTGTGTGTTCATCCGAGACAATCTATATAAATGGTAACACGTAATTTTTCAACCTGGTAGTTTTGTATCCCTTAGTATGTCTTGTATTCCTTGGCAAGCTAGTATCCCTTTACTCCTTCATAAGACACCATCATCAATGGATTTGATCCCATAAATTTAGTATAAGGCAGTTATGAAGAACAACAATTTCTGTTGGTTTGGTTAGCACCTGACAAATGTTGACCTGTGTGGAAGTGAATACTTTTAGTAACATGTTTAACACTGAACTTGTAACCAATCTTAACTGGAATGTGTTTTCACTCAAAAACATATTGTTAAGGTGGTGAAATGGGGTCTAACGTCACGTCTAAGATTATTGCACTTATATAGCGACATGCATGCACATGTGTGTGTGTGTGTGGCTGCTTGTACTAGTCTGGACTGATGCCATGCCGCAGTTGATTGAGCGTGCGCCAGACAGGGTAACAACAAGTACAATCTTTTAACTTCATTTGGTATGACGTGGCCGAAATCGAACCTCGAACCTTCCACTCTCCGGGCAGACGCTCTACCACTAGACCACTGAGGCAGGACTGTAGAACTGGGGGTGTCTGAGGCTAATGAAAATCTTTATGATAGTTTGGGACAGATTCCTTATTTCTATCTTTTTAACTCACTCACTAGAACCTGTGATTAGTATGGATATTGACTTACTGAAAAAACCCCTGTCCGAGTTCTAATCACAGGGGCTTGTAACGCAAAAATTAGCAGAAAGATATATAGTCACTAATGAGGTCATAGTACTATATAAAAGGATGACCTTGTTAATGACCGTATATATATATATATATATATATATATATCTAGGAGCTAATTTTAATCATGCCTTAAACAGGCCAATTTATCTGTGTATATTTGTCTGGCAGGGGCACAATGAAGCCAGTTTCATCTCAGAGATGAAAAAAAAAAAATCAAAACCTGTTAACAAATTTCCACTGACACAGCCTAACGTTAAGTATCAAGCAAAATACTGTTAACCATTTAACAGCTGGTTAAACAGATTAATCATCAGCTGATCCTAGATGTGGAGATTAGATCATGATGCGATTTCTTATCTGGGTTATAGATCTTGTCTGTGAGCTATTAAGTCTATCTGTTGAAGTGATGACAAGAACTGAGAAGTTTTTGATACCTCGATCGTACACACAGGACCGTGAAACTAACATTATATACTAACAAACTCGCAGACGTGACCGAAACCGATTTTGTTATAGAATATTAGTCAAGTCCGAGTAACGCGGTTATGTGGCCAAGTTCGTTTTCGCTTACCGATTCAATATCTCGTCCATTGAAATGGATTATCAGCAAGACACACGCAGAAGTAAGGGCAACAGTGCACAAATAGACTGTGATCGCTTTAGTTTTCAGTCTAACTCTCATTCTTAGAGTCTTCGATTTCAGTCACACGTACATCTGTCAAATCCTTCTTGTGGAAATCACAATGGCCATGTGTACAAATTACAAACATACTATTTGGAGGACGACTTATTATATACAAAGGTTACATGGTCTTTTTTCTGTGCTTATGCATCATGTTTGGTTCATTTCACATATGATATTAATTCATATTTTACAACAAATATAGTATATAATTTCATGCTTGGAATTATTCCAAGCGAAACCCGTAAATCGATCGAGAGTAAACTGATATTGTCACTAGTTGTTAGTAAACTATAATGTTGACAAACAGGTGCCTTCCAGCGCGTACTCAAATCGTGCTCGTGGAAAAGCTCAAGTTTTAAGAGGCGATTAAGGGGATCGGATGGTCAGGCTTGCTGATTTGGTTGATGCATATCATCGTATCCCAATGCGTGGATCGATGCCCATGTTATCAATCACTGGATTGTCTGGTCCAGAATCGATTTTTTTTCAGGCTGCCGTCATATAGCTGGAATATTGCTGACTGAAGGGCACATCTGAATCCTCCCAAACATGTCCAATACATTCGTCACAACTCGCATGCCTGTTTCCGTAACCTGCAACGAGGCTCGCCCCCCTCTCAAGGCCGCCATGCGTCGAAAGGGCGCAAGACAATCAGAATATGGTTATTTCGATCAATATAATCCTGAGTATTTAAATTAGTTCTGGGAATAAGCTTTTGTTTATTAAATGTGGAAAAGTGTAGATTGTCGGTTCCACACCGCAGTGTATATGGAGAACAGAATTTTGTTCTGTTAATTGATGTTAAAATTGATACTTGTAGGGCAATATATGTTCGTTGATAGATTCAAATGTACACGTGCGTTTGTTTACATTCAGGAAAAGGCTCCCACGACTGCGACATACTTTCGTTTGAGCCATCACTTGTCTTAGCTTTTCAAAACGACTACCATCAGTGCAGTATCAATTTTGAACAATGTAACAATGTATGAAAGTGATTACCGTATTCGACGGAATAAGCGCCCAGGGCGCTCTCAAAATTAGAAATAGGGGGCTCTTATTAGAATATTATTTTGGTGAAAAACAAATTTCGTGGTTTATGCTGACAGCCTGAAATGTTTATATACGACATATATATTTTTCCAGAATTTAATTGCCTATAATTAAGGGTGCATATAACACACGAGTGCGTATTATACGCGAATAAATAAGTCTTATGTACATTGATAAATCCGAAGGGGTGCTAATTGGGATTGTTCACTAGTCAATATATCAGCAAATATCGCCGTGGTCGCTTATTAGAGCGGGGCGCTTATTACGTCGAATACGGTAACCATTTCAAAACAAATTATTGAATGTATTTATACACACACACACACATATATGTATTTGTGTGTGTTGTGTTGCGGTCATTTTAGTCTACATGTCTATGCAATATTTACAGATTTGTTTGTGACAGACAAAGATAGCTCATACTTCAATAAAGACAACAAAAATACAATGACATTTCTGACTTGCCATTACAAAAATATATGTTGCACTAAAATATTAGAATTAGTAAAGTGAATTTTGTAGCTATAAAGATGTCTGAATTCATGGCCCAAGAACAAAATTAAGGTCTTTGTCAGGCACAGCTGAGTTTGGTTTGCGCACCAAATGATAGCTTTTATTAACTATCTAGAGATATGACTTTGTCGGACATTACTCGGGGGTATAAATTTAATGTATACCAGCTAACACTAACAGATATAGAGACAATCCACTTCCATAACTAGTGCCTTAACAATGATGCTTAACTTTGTTATTGGCATACAAACGGGTGGATTCGTGTACATGCATCATAAATATCAAAATTATCAAAACATTCACAACAATATGATGGTTTATGTACCACAAATCATAAACGCAAACTTTCGAACGTATTATTTTATAATTTGTAAAAGAAATGAAAGCTATCGTAAAAAGATCAGCATTAAATACTGACAGAAATTGTTCATGAAAACTTAATGTAATAAATATTATGGGTTTTAAATTACATAAATGGATGACGTGCATATATTCTGATTTATCTAACCTTTAAGAGATTAGTACGTTACTTATACAAAATTTAATCAGTTAAAGCTATTTATGTTCTTTCTAGCACATTGTATGTACCCGGCAATATGTCTTTTCATCAGTTGATAAGATTGTAATGCTTTCCTTTTTCTTACACCTTAGGGGCACGGATGGACCATACGTCTTAGGCGCCGAGATTCGCTGTGCAGAGTTGCGTCCCTTGGGCACGCCGGAAACCTATGATTGTGGGTTCGAATCCCGGTTCGGCCCGATTATGTTTCTAGGTTTGTCAGCACCATACCCGTGCTCGTAGGTTTCACCGAAGCGGTCAAAGTCTGAGACCTGCATCACTTCGGGCTTTCCTCCCACATTAAGCTGACACGCCGTGATATAACTGGAATACTGTTAAAAGCGGCGTTAAACCCAACTCACTCACTCTTAACACCATAAATCTGGAAGAGCTTTGAATGTTAAAGTTTGTTTGTTGTTTAACGCCGCACTAAGCAATATTCCACCTATATGACAGCTGCCCGTATATAATGGAGACATCACCAGGCAGATCAGTAATTGATATTGTAAGCATCAATCCACGCGGTCGAGGTACGATGGCACCAGTCATTCAAGTTACGGAGTCTAACCGCCACAAATTTACATGATCTCACTTTGTAGCTGGTATGTTTAGACATACTTCTATACATCTCTTAGACATGGTGTATATGACATTCATAAATAATTATTTTATAATTAATTTATATAAAAAGTTTGTGCTATTTGTTAACGCTGTCCACGAAAGGACAGATTCAGTCAAATAAATGAGTTTTAAAAATGTGTTTCAAGCATTGAAAAGACAATGTCAAATTTGCCACGTTGCCACGCTCATCTGAATATGTCTGAGAAAATCATATTGGAATCACTTCAATCCGAAAGCCACCTTCGTCTTTCGTCTTCGTCAGTTTTCTTCATCTTATTTTGATATCTTATTTGAAGTTTTGCAAATAACACATGAACAGCTGAGAATGAATGGGCTGAATGACTTGACAAATATACTTTTTTTACAAAAGAATATATTCAAGTATTTATATCAGAGAGGTTCAATACTTTTACAACAGGAGTAAGCGAGCGTTGCTGTAACGCCTACATCAATTTCACTGTAGAATAAGAATAATTGTTCCTGTTTGAAGCAGTTCTCGTGTTCATACGCCAATATGGAAACCCATTCGTGACCAACTCGTGTTATTCCGGGACAAACCTAATAGCGACTTCTTGCAGGTTACGGAAAGGGGCGATGTATGGAAACCTTCGAGAGGGGCACGAGTTTAAATTCGGCTTGTCCCGGAAATGGACGAGTTGGTCACGAATGGTGGGTGTCCCACCGGCACGGACTTACATGTTGATCATGGGTTGGGGCAAAATCGATATTCGTAAATACGTATTATGTACTTTTTTTCTTCTGACAGGTACTGAGTCCTTGTTAGGCGTTTAGAAGTTGGAAGAACAAGGGAGCTAAGTACGAGAGCTAGTCAAAACGTTTTAAGCCAGACTAACTTTCAACTATGGACCAAAACAAAGTGAACTAGCCAATGTAGTACATTGTTTGAGTAGTTCATTGCAAGTGTATTTGGTCTGCTGAGTCCGTTGTATATTAGTGGCAGCCAGTTGAACGTGATACGTGAGTGAGTGTGTAAGGTGAGTGAGTTTTACGCTGCTTTTAGCAATATTCCAGCAATATCACGGCGGGGGACACCAGAAATGGGCTTCACACATTGTACCGATGTCGGGAATCGAACCTGGGTCTTCGGCGTGACGAGCGAACGCTTTAACCACTTGGCTACCCGACCGCCCCTGAACGTGATAAGGGTCCAAATGGACACAGAAATGGAAAAGAACGAGTACCGAGCAGTCATCACGTTTTTGCCTTTAGAGAAAAGTACTCCCCAAGAAATTCATGACCACCTGTCCACAAGTGCATGGGGATAAGTGCCCTAGCCATTCCACTGTTAAACGTTGGGCAGCTATGTTTAAGGCTGCGAGAACAAGCTTTGATGGTGACCCTATGTCCTGACGTCTCTCAACTTCCATCAATGAAGATTCAATCAAGGAGATAGAAAAACTTGTACTGTCAGATAGACGTATTAGTAATGGGTGATGAAACATGGGCCTACCACTATGATCCCGAGTCAAAACGTCAATCCATGGAATGGCACCATTCCACTTCTCCGGCACCAAAGAAATAAGAAAGGTATAACCACTGCATTGTGGGATGCGGAGGGTGTGAACCTTGTCGACTACTTAGAAAATCAAAAGACGATTACCGGTGCCTTATATGCTGATTTGCTTCATCGCCTGAGAGATTCTATCAAAAGCAGCGAGGAATGCTGACTGCTGGAATTCTACCTCTTCACGACACACATCTTCTCACATCTCTTGACATGCAAATGCTGCTGTGTGACAACATAGGTTCGAAGAGTTTGCTCGCCCTCCATACTCGCCAGACCTTGCATCAAGTGATTTTCACCTGTTTCCTTAACTGAAAGAACACCTTCGTGGAAAACGCTATGACGACAACGATGTCCTCTCAAAGCTGCCGTGAATGTGTTTTTCAAGGTGGCTTCAGGAAACTTCTTCCTTACTGGAATTGAAAAGCTTTGGTTTTGTTTGTTAGGCTAAGAACTTTTTGGTCAGCCGTTGTATAAGCGAATGAAATATAAATCTTTGCTGTATGCATTAGGCACCCGTGAAGATCCGGGGTAAAATAGGTCTTCACAAACCCATGCTTGCCGTAAAAGGCGAGTATGCTTGTCATAAGAGGCAGACTAACGGGATCGGGTGGTCAGGCTCGCTGACTTGGATTGATGCATGTCATCGTATCCCGAATGCATAGATCGATGCTCATGATGTCAATCACTGGAGTGTCTGGTCCAGACTAGAATATTTACAGATCGCCGTCATATAGCTTGAACATTGCTGAGTGCGGCGTTAAACAAAAAACAAACAAACGTTAGGCGATCTTTTGGTGGATATTTAATTAATAGGGTCGAACAATAGGCCAGTTAGTTAGATCTGTTCCCATACTCAGCTTTGAAAGCACACCCCTCAAATCCTGATCAACCTCACATTTTGATCATTAATTAACTCCCGGATAGATAGATAGATATTCTTTATTTCCTCCAGATATTGAAGATACATATCATATATGATATTATGTATAATTACAGAGCTGTACAGTAGTACAAATTAACAATATTATGAGAAATGATAACTACAAAATGCATGACAATCAAGCAATCTTATTACTGTTTTGTAACATTTTGATAATTAATTAACTCCCGGATAGGAGTTGCATAAATTTATAGTTGCTCGATTGAGCAATAACTACATATTGGCGCATCGTCCGTCGAACTTAGTCGACTCATCCAGATACTGACGTCACTACTAACTACTTCAGTTTCTCTATCATATTTCACAGTAGTCAGTGATCATTTGCATATCTCTTTCTCCCTTAAAATTATTATTCTGAATGATTATAACATCTCCTTGTAATTTACTCAAAGCTTAAGGCGTTATTACAATATATTTGTGGTTATTTCATTCAAAATAATTATTATTGTTTTCATATAGAAAACAGTTGCTTTAGGCTAAAAACAAAATATTACAAATTGTTATGGTGAATTCTATCTGGAAGGCCTAATCAACTCATTGTATCGCACAAACACAGAGGGTCAATGCTCAAAATATCACATCAGACTTATTAGCTGATCCATGATGTAATAACCTTTCCTATTTAGATGTATACGAACTATTTGTTTTCTTGAACCACGGACCTAAATATTTATTATGCAGGTTCGTGATTGAAGTGTATGTAATCGTTAGGACGTGAAACAGTATTTTGGGGATTTATATTTGATCATTACAGAATAATTAACAAATTATGGTTAATCAACTGCAGGTAATGAGTTCAATTCTGTCATTTCATATGTTTACCAAACCAAAGCTGAATGACATCAAGTGAAATATTCAGCTGCACACAAATGTGTAGGAACCAAGGGAGATAACCTTTACGCAACTCTGTGAAGCTCGTCAGGCAGACAGCATTCGTGACCAAATCGTGTTATTCCGGGACAAGCCGAATGCAGGTTACGGAAAGGGGCGAGTGGTGACGAATGGGCAGACACATGTACTCCACAGCCAAACGGCTTTATGATTCAAATGGGCAAATAAGATTATTCATTTCTTATTCAAGTTAGCTTTCACAAGGAAAAATGTTTTCTATAAAAAATATTGTTTAATGACAAAAAGTATCTAGAACTCGATGGTTACACTACAAGTCACTAATGTTTGCATTTCTTTCTGACTATGCACCCATTCCTTCTGGTTTTTCATATGGTTGAATAAAGTTAAAACTTAATTCAACTTCAGTGTATGAATGACCAGATTCAATACATGTATCTTAATACGTTTTGCCAGGGCTATGCTAAAAATGTTCCCAATCGGACATTTTGAGACATCTCCTGAGACCTACAGTGGGTACCCGGGTAGGGTCGGATAATAGGGTGGTTGGTACCAGGGTAGTAAATTTGGACTCGTCCCAGCCATATTATATACACCTTCCACACTCATGCAAAAATAAAAACAAAAACATGTTTAAATGGAACCTGTTTAAACATGTTAACGTGGGGAGTCACAACATGGCCTGAAACTAGAATAACACATATATTTTATGAGAATCCTATTATAGTATATCAACAACAAAATTAACAATAACAAAACTTCATATACGATGGTACTCGTGCATTTATAACATACACATTTCAGATGTAAAAACGTTTTCTTTCATATTATGAAGAAAGTAATAAGAAAGGTATCCAGAGATTACGCTCGGAGTATGTATTCATCCGATTATTAAGCAAACACCTAATATGGGAACTAATTTATCAGTTTACTCAAGAAAAAACAATACTACACTGTGAACACACAATGCCATTTAGAAATTAGTCAATTGTAACAAATGTTATATTTGGGGAAACACTTTCTTTGTAAAGTGCAGATTCTCGGACGGGAGTGAAAAAGTATGGGAATTTGTAATTCTCTAAGAAAGTGTTGTCCCAAATACAACATTTGTACCAATAGACCCTGGATCCACGGCTCGGTGACGCCAAACATTGGACTTGTAATCTACACAGTGAATTCCGGCACCTCAGTGAGGGAGTGAGTATGGTTTTACGCCGCTTTTAGCAATATTCCAGCAATACCACGGCGGGGGACACCAGAAATGGGCTTCACTCACTGTACCCATGTCAGAATCGAACCCGGGTTTTCGGCGTGACGAGCGAACGCTTTAACCACTGGGCTACCCGACCGCCCCCCTAGACCTCCGACGACCTGACTCTCGATCTCTGCCCCATCAACGTAACAATGTTTAGCTATATGTATATAATGTACACTTTAATTTGTTTCTGGTATTTGTAAACGTGTTTGTGACATATCCGATATATCTGACATATATAATACTTGACCTCTTATAATAATGACGGCTTTTTTAAAAATGATCTATTGATGAATATATTATGAATTATACGAAATTTAGGTTAAACACATTATCTCAAATTTCTATCGCATTCGTCCTCTTTTTATTGAATGGATCACCAAGTAAACTGTGGGATCATTTTCGACAGCGAAATGTGGGGCCGTTTTGGCAAAGGCCGTTTTAGCCAGCAGCCTAACTCTGCACAGCAAAACTCTGGAAAGTCTGTGGAACTAGTGAAGTAATTGTCCAAAACAGGGAATTCAAAATGGCTGCCATTGAGGCATGATTAAAATTATTATCCAAATAATTGCCGTGAGCTTGAGATAAGATGCAGTTGGTAAATGCGAGATGTTTTAAGCTTGCTTTGAACAGTATAAGTTATGTCACTGTCTGTCCTCTCAGTTATGCAAGTCCTGGTGAGTGAGTGTGTTTTTTAAGCCGCTTTTTGCAATATCACAATGGGGGACATGGGCGGATACAGCTTTTTTGAAAAGGGGGATGCACAATTAAGATCTATTTATTGTCTTTGGTGGTAATTTATACAGAAATAAAGATCCCCCCCCTCTGTAATGTCCCATGGGGGACACAAGACATGGGCTTCAAACATGGTACCTGTGTGCAGAACCAACACATTCGGCCTGACGAGAGAACATTTTAACCACTAGGCTACCCCTTCACCCCTGATTCAAGTCCAAGACATCATGGTCACACTTTTTAACATTAGTATGGCACTGTCAAACCAATAATCATAATCAGGGACTCGAACTCATGGTGATTGGATTCTGGAATGACAAAGGGACACCACTCTGCTCCGTAAGCTGCGGGGCGGTAGAGGTAGCCTGGTGGTTAAAGCGTTCGCTTGACACGCCGAAGACCCGGGTTCGATTCCCGACATGGGTACAATGTGTGAAGCCCATTTCTGGTGTCCCCCGCCGTGATATGGCTGGAATATTGCTAAAAGCAGCGTAAAACCATACTCACTCACTCCGTAAGCTGCATCACTTTAGATGACTGGAGCACCTGTTCCCTGGAAGGAAATGAGGCCCCTAGGTTGTTATTCCATTTCTGACTGTACCCTAAGTCCCTTTCTTTCAGTTTTTAATATAAACATTGTATGCCTTCATACACTATTCAGATGTAAAGAAATTTGCTGTGTGATGAGGCAACCTCAGTGACAACCCACTGAGACGGTAGGTGCTGTGCAGTTTGCCACATAGAACCAACATCAAAGGAGATAATACTGGCAGTTAATGAATCAAATTTATCACTTCTAACATTATTTCATGACATAGGGCAAATTGTAAAAGCATAAATTTTGACCATGCTGAAAAACATATTTCTCTAAAATTCTAGTTATCTGTTATCCCTTCATAGATCATGCAAAGAGCCTGTGGCCAGTTTAATATCTTGGAAATGTGAAAACTAAAGTTGACTTTTTTGGATAAAGCTTGGCCCATTGTAACTGTGACAAGTGGGAATTCCTCATGTTATATCAAAAGTAAAAACAAAGTGAGTAAGTAAGGTTTTACACCACTTTTAGCAATACTCCATCATTACAATGTATCACAGATGGGATACCAGAAATGGGATTCACACTTTGTACCCATGTCGGGATTCGAACCCGGGTCTTCAGCGTGACAAGCGAACGCTTCAACCACTAGACTTCCCGACTGCCCCTCGCGGTGCCTGAGAGGCCACCCAAGCTGTGACATGATGAAACATAATGACAAGGTTCAATTAATTGATCCACACTGAGACAATCCATCTGAATGAAGCAAGACATAAACCTATCAAGAGAGGCAAATCAATAATGTCAGTACGGATCCATGAATGAGCGAGAAAGTGAGTGAGTATGGTTTTACGCCGCTTTTAGCAATATTCCAGCAATATCACGGCGGGGGACACCAGAAATGGGCTTCACACAATGTACCTATGTCGGGAATCGAACCCGGGTCTTTGGCGTGACAAGCGAACGCTTTAACCACTAGGCTACCCGACCACCCCCATGAATGAGTGAGCAAACTAAATTTGTATGTTACTTTAAGCACTATTCCAGCAACATCACAGCAGAGGACACCAAGAATGGATTTATAGAGCATCCATGGTAGGGGGGGCATGGGTGGCCCAGTCGTCTAAGGCGCCACGATTTGCTGTGCAGAGTTGCGTCCCTTGGGCCCGCAGAAACCTATGATTGTTGGTTTGAATCCCGGTTCGCCCCGATTATGTTTCTAGGTTTGTCAGCACCATACCCGTGCTCGTGGGTTTTCACCAAAGTGGTAAACGTCTGAGACCTGCATCACTTTCCTCCCACATTAAGCTGTCGCGTTCAACCAAACTCACTCACTCACTCACTCCATGGTAGGAATCGAACCTGGGTCTTATACATGATGAGCAACCACTGAACTACCAAATCATCCTATTGATCCATACACACTCTAATTGATGACAGCTGAGAGTTACCTCCCCTTGTGATCACCCTTCCTTGGGAAATGGGTGGGGGTGGGAGTGGGAAGTGGTTAATCCGGACAAAATCCTTGGCTGGGGATCACCTGGATTATGGGACCGGTCATTTATGACAGGGATGGGTGGGTGAGAGAATTTTGTACAGAAAATATGGATCCTTCCCTCAAGGATGTCATATTTTTGGATGACCCTCCCAATGTCCTTGTACATATTTTTTAGACCCTCCCTGAAAAGAGAAAATACACTATCACTTAATATTTTATTATAAAATGTCCATTTTTACACGATCCTTCCAAAATATGTGTATTATTTGTTATAACCCTCCCCTAGAAATTGTATATTTTTCAGCGATACTCCCCTGTTTACATCAGACCCCCCCTCCCTTTAATAAATGACCGGTCCCTAACATTCTCGGTGCAGTGACCCTTTCTTACATATCCTGGGACATTTTCTCTTCAAATCCTTCAAAATTCACTCTTCCTAACACTTTTTGTCCCTTTTCAACAACATCAGAAAGTCTTTTTGATTTGGGTTCCAAATAGGTCTGAATCCATTCTGTCACGGTCTCATCGGAGAAGATGGGCTCCATGGACTTCTGAATCTTTATCTGCACTTCACAAAGTCTCGCAAGAATATTCGTAGCTTCAGTCACAATAGGTTCGATGTGCATCAGGTTGACAAATCCTCGTTCAATATTGTAATCATTCATCCAGGAACACAGTGTGTCACTTTGTAGGAACTGGTCACACTTAGCCTGGGTGTGAATCCAGTCGATCATGGCGGCGTACACATCACTCCCCGGGTAGCGGCACTCCGTGGGGATCTGACACTGGTAGGGGTTGAGGGGTAGCCCAGGCTTGAACTCGAGCTGGTTAGAGATGTGCATAAGGATATCCTGGGTGAACACACCTTGCTTAGCCACACTCAGACACAAAGCCAGAGATGGGATAGCAACAGGGAGGAGCTCACACATCACTGCGAAGTGGTCATATCTGCAAATATCGGCAATATAGAAAATAGTACGTACCTAGAAAACATTATATGAGGATAAATTGTCCAAAGAAAAAGAGAAGCCTTGTAGCTCTGGTGGGTTCGAATACATATATTATCAAAATAGTATTAATCATTTCAAACAATGCATCAATAGTTCAACATATCATTATATCATTACACTCCTACTTATTTTCAAGCATCTTATTCTATGAAAGAAACTTCAGTCAGCAAGCCCTACCATTCGGTCGCTTTAGTCGCCTCTTACGACAAGCATAGTCGCCTCTTACGGCAAGCATAGTCGCCTCTTACGACAAGCACAGTTGCCTCTTACGGCAAGCATAGTCGCCTCTTACGGCAAGCATAGTCGCCTCTTACGGCAAGCATAGTCGCCTCTTACGACAAGCATAGTCGCCTCTTACGGCAAGCATAGTCGCCTCTTACGGCAAGCATAGTCGCCTCTTACGGCAAGCATAGTTGCCTCTTACGGCAAGCATGGGTCGCTGAAGGTCTATTCTCTACCCGGATGTTCACGAGTGCATCTGCCAAGATTGTAAAACCATGAATGAATTACCTCTGCCAGCCAGTGATAGCAAACCCACGGATAGAATTAAACTTGCTTCCTTTCTCGTCGATCAATCGCAACCAGGACAAATGGTTCTCAACATGGAAGGATATGTTTGTCATACTGGCACACACTCCGGTAGCTCCCTTGAAGGCGCTGGCCACCCAGATGTCCCGGAACACAGTACACAGGTTGTCGAACAGGTTCTCCGGAAGAAGAAATGATGACAGGTAGTGCCATATCATTGGCTCCACGAGATCACCCAGACCGCTTGTCTTAAGATCCTTGACCGCAGCAAATCGAAACATGTCATCCCACACAATTGGGGTAATTGTAGGATAATGTGCTTTGATGTAGGTAGCCACTGTTTTGACATGACCGAAAAAAAGTTGCTGTGTGGTGAGGTTTTCGTCTGCCATTTTCCTTCGGCATAAGTCACACCTACCCAGGTGGTACACTTCGTCACATCCGATATGGAACCACCTTGTCTTGGGATGCATCTCAAGGACTTGATCCAGCATTGCCGTTACTATGGGGATTGCATCGGGGTGACACGGACACAGTGATGTTGGGTACTTTGGAATTTCACGAATCTTCGCAAATGTTTCATGCTTCAGAACAAACTCAAAATGGCCGAATGTCTGCACCAAGGGCACCACCTCGAGATTATGTTGTTCAGCCATGTGAAGGATTTTTTTAACCTCTTCTACACTGTAGGCTTGGGAGGATGCAACTTCAGAAAGGTTGCCATGGTAAGGGAACATGTCTTCATACTCCATGATTAACCCGGTCGCTCCCCACTGTTCTATTAAAGGGAATATTTTTTCCAAATAGGACAATTTTGGTGCTGCCCCTTTCAGGTCAAGATGGACAAGGCGCTGAGACATAGAAGCCATCTTTCCTAGCGTCGTCAGATCCAACACATAAACCAGTTTTCTGACTTCCTGTAGGTACCAGTCTTTGAAAATCTGTTGGAGCAGTCACAGTGGATTACGATTACTTCTCTGATTCCATTTTAGCAGGGACCAGTTAATACATGCACAGGTCTCTGATTGTAGACTTCTGATTTTATTCTGGAAAAGAGACAGTAACTTCTTAAAGTCAGAAAAAAAGTAGACATTATATTCATGTCACCTTCAAACCATAACAGAAGTACATATTACACTTTTGACAAAACATTAACAAATACTGTTGCACTATTTCAAGGCGTAGAGGCCGGTGCATCAAGAGATCCTAGCACTGAGGTAATTGTCACTTCCATGATCAAAAACAGACTTATGAGTGAGTGAGTGAGTTGGGTTTAACGCCGCTTTTAACAGTATTCCAGTCATATCACAGCGTGTCAGCTTGATGTGGGAGGAAAGCCCGAAGTGATGCAGGTCTCTGACGTTTACCACTTCGGTGAAACCCACGAGCACGGGTATGGTGCTGACAAACCTAGAAACATAATCGGGGCGAACCAGGATTCGAACCCACAATCATAGGTTTCTGGCGTGCCCAAGGGACGCAACTCTCCACAGCGAATCGCGGCGCCTTAGACACCTGGGCCACCCGTGCCCCAAACACTTATGATAGTTGTAGCACTAAGATCGTTTTGGGGGATGGGGCCAAGCTGGCCAAAGCTGGCAAACGTAGCACTGTGACTATCATAACTCATATACTTTACACAGACTTACAATAGTTCTAGTGCTATGATACTTTTGTGGAATGGGGCCCTGGTCGTATATGCAGACTCTGTGAGTAAATGTCGTTTCATGCTGCCGTCAGTAACATGCCAGCTATATCTAAACACACTGCAAATGATTGAATCTGAGCCAACATGTGGTTGACAGCATGAGCAACAATCATAGCTGGCAGAGCAGCTTGACAGACATTCAATTAACCAGGTCACACCTTTTGACACCCAATCCCATGGTAGTCATGGAAACCCAAAATTTTAATAGAATAAAATACCGTATTTCCTTTAGTAGACGTCCGGATGTCTATTAATTTCGCGCAAGCCATTTTCCCATTTATTCTGTTTAATGCTGGCACAGTGGCAACTCACTACCTTACCGAATCCCAAGTGCTACAGCCATACAAAGGGTTCATTTGCAGGAAACAGTTATTATTAATCACCATCATACCACAAGCATAAGAGGCCTAGCTTCTACTTTTTGGACAGCCCAATCTCATTAAAATCAGATCTTAGTTTTCGCTACCGCTAAACAAAGATCTGAGGACATCCCATTACGGGTCATGTCAGAACGACCTTTCGGGAATTTTGACCGACCAATGAAATGACTGACAAAAAAATCGACATTAGCCAATCAAAAGGTAGCTTTCTCGAGCTTTACGACACTAGTTTCAAACTGGCGACTACGCTTCGAAACATATTTTGACGTATTCTCGATTAAGAAAATTAAAACTGATAAGAACATTCTGGAATTGCTTATGGATATAATCATAAAACCCGTAACTGTCGTTCGGAATACCCCGTGTTAAATATTTCGTGGTTGCATGATTAGAAAACTCATTCCGACTGTCACTTTCATGATCTGGTAACAACGCTCTGATTGGTTGGATGAAAGGTCGTTCTGACTTGACCCTTAATGGGATGTCCTCAGATCTTTGTTTAGCGAGAGCGAGAACTAAGATCAGATTTTAATGAGATTGTGGACAGCCTGGGGTGTATTGGAGGTCCATCATCTGATAGAGGAAATATGGTACATGATAGATAACACCAGGGCAAGAGGGTACCATGAATCTGTCATTAAGTCCTTCATAATCAGGAGGTGGTAGTATAGACTTGTGGTAAAGTGTTCACTCATTATGCCATAGCCCTGGGTTCAAATCCCACAGGGTTACAATATGTGAAGCCGATTTCTGGTGTCCTCCGCTGAGATATTGCTGGAATATTGCTAAAAGCAGCATAAAACATACTGGCCCGCCACATGATCATCACCACCCGTGGAGATCTGGGGTAAAACAGGTCTTCAGCAAAACAAGGGTGGCCGTAATTGGCGACTAACGGGATTGGGTGGTCAAGCTTGCTGACCTGGTTGATGCATGTCGTCGTATCCAATTGCAAGTGTAGCAGGATGTGGAGTCATTCCTCAGATGACATCCTTACCTTGTCAGCTTTGGTCATATGGACAAGGCGTCCGACTTCTGATCAGAATGTCCTTGGTTCGAATCCCATCAGGGGACTCGGAAATTTTATGGATTGATGCTCATGATATCAATCACCAGATTGTCTGGTCCAGACTTGATTATTTACAGTTTAATTGTTGCTGAGTGCAGCGTTAAACAACAAACAAACAAACAAAGCATGATCATCAGCTGATCGTGAAACAATTATGTAGATCTAATTAACTTCCTTGTCAGTATTCAATGACAGATCTACATTACTAAGTCCGATGGAATGTTCCTGATTCAAAATACATGGATCCTACCATTGTAGATTTTAATAATTGATGTTATGCATCGGTGATCAATGCTTTATAATCTTGGCCAATGAGACGGTTGTGTGATTTTGTCAACCGTCCTTGTCCTCAGCCACAGATCAATACGTCTTTGCCTCAGCCAACCCCATGGCATTACGATTCCAGCTCGCACCAGAATCGACAGTCAATGAGCACTTTTGGTATCACGAATTGAAACGCATGAAGCGTAACTTCAATAATGATTCTCTAAACCATCTACCTGATTTCCAGTTGATTACTGTGCTAGTGTGACAGGCGAGTAGGGGAAAATGTCGTTCCGTCTCCTGTGATCCAACATGCCGGGGCATTTAGAGTTATCTCCCTTTAACAGTGTCGATTTCTTCCTGTATCTGAGACGACAGCAAACCACAAGAGGAGACGCAACTTAACATCTAAAATATTTATATTTTAATCGATCTTTTGTAATTAAAATCGAGTTGAGTGACGGAAAATATATTTAGAATCAAGAATGTGTCTGTCAAAATATGAGAATATTGTCTGTGCACATAAAACAAGAGGCCCATAGGGCCTGTATCGCTCACCTGGATATTTACGCAATCATGACAAAATATACATTTGTACATGTATATAATACTGCAAATATTTCGTAATTTTGACTCTGTCAACATTTAAAATAGGAGGATGACAAATCTGACAGCATGAACGTGTATTTCTCTAGCTACAAATCTAGGATAAAGATCCGAACAGTTTCCGTGTTATGATCCAGGATCTAAGTTTCCAGAGGCAAGGCTGGATCCCAGTGCGAATACTATTGGCAAAAATGTATTATTCTCTTCATAACAAGCAAATGTATACAATGTCTCTGTTTATTATAGGGTGGGGATAATATCGGTTCACATGGCATGGTCAAGGTTTTAACTCCTTTGAGAGTGCCAGGCAGATGAACAGAAGGGCCAGTCCTGGTAGCATATGTGCATTCCTCTCATTATACTCAGCAATTGTACATATGGTTATACGGTGGGGATCTTAACTGTGTCCACCTAGGGATGCTTCCAACCAAACATGGTTGATATCTATATCTTAGTTCCAGAGAAGAAGTCGTTTAAAGCAATATAGCCAAATTACCCTCTATTTGGCCCCGCCCCTCAGTCCCTTGGGGGGTCAGCCCCACCATTTGTACAATTTTGAATGCCCACCACCTAGGGATGCTTCCAACCAAATATGGTTGATATCTATATCTTAGTTCCAGAGAAGAAGTCGTTTAAAGCAATATAGCCAAATTACCCTCTATTTGGTCCCGCCCCTCAGTCCCTTGGGGGTCAGCCCCACCATTTGTACAATTTTGAATGCCCACCACCTAGGGATGCTTCCAGGCAAATTTTGTTAATTTCCCATTAGTCGTTTGAATAAATTGTTGACGTACGGACGACGGATGGACGACGGACGCCACGGTATGGTATAAGCTCACCTTGGTCCTTCGGGCCCGGTGAGCTAATAAATGCACTGCGAATGGTAAATGTTTGTTTGTTTTCACCAAGATCTTATACTTACTGACATAATATATGTGGCGCCGTTATCGACAGCAAAATGCTCATTTGGCCAGTTTGGTGCCCTTATAGCAGTGCCGTTCTGGCGCCATGTTGTTTTGAACCAGCCAAGAGAATAACTGATATAAAACACCTGTGGAACCTTAATTAGTATAATTAATAGTTTGTATTGTTTGCATTTCTCCATGATAAATATAAAGATGAATGAACGGTTTGAAATCCAAATCTTGCTAGGCAAAGTATATTTTTTCGATATCAATAATATATCAATGTAAAGAAGTGTTCAGGTATTGTTGACTGCAGCGAAACCTTGTCAGTCCGGGCTCCTTTAATAAAAAAATCCCAGCTTTCGGACGATAATGCCAATATAGCCTATATACTATTCAAAAGAAGTTAAAGAACACAAAGTCTAGTAAGAAGATAGGGTCCCCATGCACCCGAAATATATATTCTATTAACTTACATTTTTGTAATACCCATAGTATCTGCGAAATGAAGTTTGATGTTTCCAAGGCGAAATATTGTCCCATGGTGTCCAACAAAAACTTATAATCGGCATAACTTTGGAACTAGACATGGCACATAAACATTTGACACCATTTTTTGGAGTAATCTGAAAGCGATTGAAGGGGTGATTTTCAGGATTAAAATATCATTTAAAAAAATTGGATATATTAAAACACGAAGAATTTGAAAAAAAATCAGTATATTTTACTCAAACATTTGCAAATATCTATCCACATACAAAGCAAATTCATACGATTTCCATGAAGTCTGGAAGGAATTGTTTTTAATTTCCTGAAATTGATTCGCAAAAAATAACCAACTATGAGTTTCAATAAGTGACAGTATTAAAGAAACGATTATACTGCTTGTTTTGAAGGACGAGCTACACAAACAGTAAGGTATGGTTTGTTTATATCACTACATGTAATGTGACTATTTTTGTGATTATTTAAACAAATTGGTTACATTAAAACACGAACAACTTGGAAAATCAGCATCAACAATACATCATTGACAGAGTTCTAATGGTCCCGTTAATGTCCATGCCATTTGTTATTGGAAATGACGTCACATGGAGCTGATACGCCATGATATACCCTGAATACTGTTTAAAGCGGCGTTAACCCAACTCACTCACTCACTCACTCACTCACTCAGCCCCAAGTGGTTTATTGTCCTATAGGCGTATCTCAATTTATCATTGTCTGGATTTAATTTATTCTGGCGTGTACAGTGATATCATGTCTTACAGTTCCTTGTTTGTGAGAACCGTGAAGTCCGGGGTAGAAAAGGTCTTCAGGAACCCATGCTTGCCATAAACGGCGACTATGCTTGTCGTAAGAGGCGACTAAAGGGATCGGGTGGTCAGGCTCACTGACTGGGTTGATGCGTGCCATCACATTCCATTTGCGCGGATCGATGCTTGTGATGTCAATCACTTTATTGTCTGGTCCAGACTTGATTAGTTACAGACCACCGTCACATAGCTGGAATATTGCTGAGTGCGGCGTAAAACAACAAACAAACAACTAAGAAACAAACAAACATTGTTTGTAACAGAGAACTGAGTCAATGTCAGTATGGGCAAATCGGCTCCGGTTTTATTATTTGGCAGTTCTAGCAAGACAGATTTAAGTAATTGATTTTATTTTGTATTTTTATCATGATGTATATCATGAAGCCAAATACCTCAATTACCAAACAGTCATTCAACCATATTATTTAGGACACAAGCGACATCTCTGTTGTTTGAAACCCATGCAATATTGTCGCGGGTCTGTATTATAATATATGACATGATGTATCGTCACGATAAAGGCATCACGAGTCTACAATCGATTTTGTTTTCACAAGGTGCCTTGTTAAATGAATCTCTTTGTGGCTACAATGAATATATACATGGACACTAAACGGTGCTTTACATATTTCAGAATAAAACATTTTTTGTACTCAGGTCATAAATCTAATTTTGAACAAACGTTGTAGGTACGAGACAACCGTGTTTATAACACCAATTCAACAAATTCATCATCGACTGAGGTGAGTGAGTATTGCTTTACGTCGTTTTTTGCAATATTGTGGCCATGTTACCAGTGGGAACACGTTGTATCGATACGGGGAATCGAACCAGCATCCCAGGCGAGACGAGCTATCGCTTTCACCACTGTCCTGTAACACCTCACTTATTGACATCATGATTATGTAAATAACCTATGGTAGATATATTGTTCTTAAACAAGCGTTCGCAGAGTATAATTTCTGGTGTGATAATTGTGATACTGCGAAAAGCGGCGTAAAACCAAACTCACTCACTCACTCTTAATGCATATACACATAACGCGGCATCAACCTAATCTACAATCCAATGACAATATGGACAAGATGCCTTAAAAATATTCCTTTACCTGACCAGCCTGTTTACAATTATGTAATTTAATTCGAAATTTACAAGGTAATCCTTTATCCTCATAAACCTGTTGTATGACACCTCAGGCTGCATATATCAAAGTCACGATATAACGGTTATAAAGTAATTTTCTGTTGTACATCCCAACACATGGAAAAGATGCATGAACATTTCCGTTCTTTAAGAGAAACACCTTCAGATATAGATAAATATTATTAAAACTTGGGGACTTTTACAAGTCCTGCTTCAATCAAATGAAAAAACAAGAGAGAAATAAATGCATTGACAGCGAAAACTCAAATATTTGCATGGCCAATGTGTGTGTGTTCTTAAGAATTGGGTCTTATTTGCCAGTAGACGCTGTATACAATGACTTATAGTGTGTCACGCTATGTTAGTGGTTGGTAGGGGATTGCAAGTCAAGTTGACAGTAAACAACTTTGTGCCCATAAACCCGTATCCTTGCTTGCCGGTACATGGTTGAGGCTCTCCACCTATGGCGGCGAGTTTAATTAATGCCTTTACAAATAAATCGCATTACTACATCTAATCTAACTAGTACAATTGCGCTCTATTGTTGTAATTCGAGCATATTGATTCAATCGCCCAGTCGTTTAAATATGATTATTATATCTCCGTGGATTAAACAAAATACTTTTTTTGTACAACCCCACCGGTTAACAGCCCCCGACTGCCGAGGCATGTCGACTGGATTGTTATGCTAGAGCTTTGCTCACCAAGTCTTATCTTACTTCGACGGAAACCTATCCATGTAATACTTCATCGGACAGCCATGAAAAAGGTAGGCATGTGTCTTCATATGAGGGGTTTTAAATGGCATTAAAACTTGTATTTACATTCGGATAAAATTACATTTGATTAGTTTTATACTATTACTCTGTAACTTACTTGAGCCGTATATGTCAAGACTAACAAGTACATGAACACATTAATGACAACAGTTAATGACATGCGAGTGAGTTAAAATTGAACGTCGCATCGGCATTATTCCAGCCTATAGCGACTAATGATATGCATATGATTTACCAAAGTTCGTCTGATTAAGAAACGTGTTAGGGATGTGGCCTAGGATTTATTTGTGATTGTATTTCCTTTGTTAAACACCCTACGTGCGATAAACAGTGAATAATAGGCACTGCTGATTAATAGTACAAGTCAGGCAGCATGGCCTCGCGCTGTCGTTCACTAGTTCCCCATATCAGATCATACAGGTCGACATGTGTTGTTTATGACATTTCAGAGCACAGCATGAAAAGTATTGGCTTTAATCTTCGTATCAATGACGAATATGGTCAGAAAATATAGAAATGCAGAAAATGTATTTGCAATCACAAAGTTATTTTCCATTAAAACGCATTAAACTGCTTCCAATAAAAAGAAA